TAACAGGCGATTAATGATCTCGAACATTAACGCGCTAGCTTCGCTCGCACGTTAAAATATCTCGATCATTAATCGCCCAAATTGATACACTAGTTGGTTAAATAACTATTATGTTAGAATAGACAAATAACGCAGAAATGCAAAGTTTTAGCATTATTTTTATTTCTTTTCATTTATATTATATATGATGAATCGATTTTATCATGTAATCCACACTAAGTAACCAGCATCCACGATTAGTCCTTATACTCCTTATATCTAGTATCTATGCTGATTGAAGAGGAACCCTTCTAGATTTGAATTGAGCAAAATCGTTAATAATTGTTTTCGAGCATATCACATTCTATCGGCACAGAATACCACGGCATAAGCGACAAACTATTCAATCTCTCTTGAAGCATTGTACTTCTCAATTCACTTTTTATTCGTTTTAATTTGGAGAAGGAGCGTTCCCCACTGCATAGTTAGTTACCATCATATACTTAGAAAGATTCTCAGTCTCAGTGCGATTTCTACATTTATAGGAGAAGGTGTCTTCAATTTTGCTCTCTTTCAAAAGATTATATATTTTCAGTATACCATTTTTTAATTTTTACTCTGATCAATTTTCAAGTAGCTATCGGGACTAGGGGGCCCCAATCATCGCGGGGCCCTGGGCACGTGCCCAGTGTGCCCAGTGGGAAAGAGGGGGCTGCAGCTGACTCTGTTAAACGATTCATTAGAACATTCACAAGAACATTTTCTGGAAGATTTAGACACAATAAGATCTGACGAAAATGAAGAAGTTTTTCGTAAACGTTTGGATGAAGGGATGAGTGAAAATCTTGCCAATTGCATCTGCCACCATAGATATATTTTAGAGTAAGTAGGTATATATCAAAGTGTCATATTATAATCCTGATGATATTGTATTGTTAGGACATAGATCTAAATTTAGATCTATGGTTATAGGATGAACATCCGGGTTTGGTCTTTCAGAAATACTCAGTTGAAAAAACTACGATTCATTCAAATACAAACACTACATACTACAATGTGCTACAATATACGATAAAGAATCAGCATAAGCACACTTTAAACTCATTCACCAATTTATTTCGCTAGTCGCTCTCTAGACAATACGTAATATTCTCTCAACTGTGACAGTACTACTCCCGTTGGGCTACCTGCCGATATTTATATCTGATCTAAGATCTTACCTTTTCATAACCTTTCGAGAACGCCGTAAATAAGATTCTGAATTCAAAATTTTAAAATTTTAGTCAGGGAAAAATTGATCTGCATTTCCATAGAAGAAAAACAGGCTTTCTTTCATATACTCACATTTATTTAATAGAAAAGGGTTTGAAAGTTATAGAGAAAAAGGATTCCAATTCGAAGGGCGTAGTTCACGGATTTGCTTGATTTGTATGCAAGGATCACGCTTACTTTTGAATCACCCTGCATATAAATATATTTTTGTTAACAATGATTGGTATTATCACTTCTATTATTTTTTCAGGTTCAAATGCGAAGTCTCCAGTATTTTCGGAAATATAACTCTTGCACAATTCATGATCAGTGTTCTGACTCTTTGTACGAATCTTTTCGAGCTCAATGCGGTAGGTTATTCACAACAATAAGTATATACAGGGTCGCTAGAAAAACATTCATCACTTTTATCTACAGGGTGATTACATATTTACATACATACCTAATAGTATATTATTCAACAAGCATATTATTCACGAAGGTTAAGTTCATGTCACGAGCGTAGCGAGTGGATTTTAACATATATACCGCCTACCCTATAGGAACTCCAGACTAGTGAAAAATCGTTATTCACCGCTATTATTCATAGGTGTGGAAAATGACTATCGTTTTGCTCGAGGCAGTATACATGTATTATCAATATTTCATACAACAGTCATGGACAAACGAATATATTCACATCACCTTCATCAGTCACATTCATTGACGCATACGGATTAGTTTTTTGCTAAAAGTATCTTTGAATAGTCGATCAAACCATTCTATATACTTATACAGGGTGTCTTAGACCTTTCAGGCCATGCAGCAGATATCTGCAGATTATCTGGAAATTCATTTGTATTTTCATAATTTTGACTTCAACCTCATAAATAATTATCGATAATGACATATGGATATCTTTGTGCTATTATGTAAACACCCCGTAGATTGTACGAAAAATCTAATAAATCATTCTTGATATTTTGTAAAACATGTTGAATTGTTTTATAATTTCAGAAGCCCGAGATAAATGTACAATTTTTTTCTTTGATTTTATATATGATGTTCTTGCTAACAGAAATATATTGCATGTGTTATTTTGGGAATGAGATAATATTGAAGGTAATAGCATAGTGAAATATCAAATATATGTATTCATACAGGGTGACATAAAAATATTCTAGAATAATAGGTAGGTACTTACAAAAAATAATCAATTTTTGATGATTGAATTCTGTAGTGATAAGGCTGGTTCAGGGTATTCTCAAACAACTTTCCTTATTTTTCAAATTTCAAGATTAGAAGAAGCTTATTCTATTTATTATGTATATGATCATCCATGAAAATTATAAGTTAAATGAGTACCAATCAGATCATCTTATTGTTACTCCGCAACTCCTCATTTATAATAACAAGAAAATACATTATTTCATACTTGTATTGAACTGACATAAAAATATCACGTTTCCTGGTTTTCTTATTTCACCCTGTATGATGGTAGAAGTTTATTTCCTCATGTACCTAGTAACTAACAATACATTCCATTTCATTTTCCAGAGTTCTCAGTTGACAAACTCAATATATCACTCAGAGTGGCTGCATTGTTCTATGCGATTGAAAAAAAACTTGATAATTTTCATGTCGCGATCTCAAATAGAAATGAAATATTTGGCTGGAAATTTGTTTGTTCTATCTCTTGAAACGTTTTTCAAGGTAAGATTCTTCAAATTCTTCATATTCACTGTACATGAGTGCTGTTAATTTTCAGACACATTCGATAGCTTGATAAAAAAATATCTCATGATATTTTGTTCAATAATATGATCCTAAAAATGCTTTCATGAACTTTTCCAGATTGTCAAGTCGTCTGTCTCGTATTTCACTGTGCTGAATCAACTAAGTAACGACAACGACTAAATAAAATAATCATAATAATCTTATTCTGTGTTTGTTCATGAACAACCTCAAAAGATCAACGAGAAATTATAAGTGAATTCAAATTATATTGAATTATACTTCATAGGTACAGCACCATCACTTTAACATCAATATAATGTATTCGTATTCGTATATGTATATAGTCACCATAAACACATTGAACAAGATTTGTATTTTTTTCTTTCCCTGCATCATTACGTGAAGTACAGCGGACGATAAAGTAGGTGATCGGGCGGTAAAGTAATTTCCCTGTTTTTTCAGAATTTCTACTAGACTATCATTCGATATTTCTTCGCCAGTGGCAAACATAATTTGGCCAAATGAATTCAAAATCATGTATAAATTTCATATTAACACTATAAATAAATGTGTTATTCACACGCTGCGGTCCATAAAAGACTACACTTCCCGCACTATATAGTACCCCTTCATTGCCCTACGGCGCTAAAGTTCCACTTTATCCCCGCGAATCTGGGCAATAGTGCAACTACGCCTGGTCTTGGAGGGGCTTACATAATGATTATTTATGTATCAAGGTCGTAAGGCTTTTATGGAACACGCCCCAGTCCATAAAAGCAAGTTAATTACGCCCGAAATACATGCAGCATATTTATGCACAATAACTGATTTACTCCGCGCCGGAGCTCTTTAATGCCCGCTGTACTCCATTATCGCCCTAGGGCTTTAAAGTGGTAATTTACGACAGCAAATTCGGACGGTAAAGCTAGTAACGCCCAGCCGTGCATAATAGTTATTTATGTATCAAGGGCGTAAAGTAGGCTTTTATGGCCTGTGGCGTGAATATATAATGGCCCGATGGCACTAGCCGAGGGCCATTACACGCTGAAGGCCATAAACGCATTTCACGCACGTGATACATACAAAATTTTATGCACTAGTGGTTTATTTTTTGACTCAAAAGTAATGACTATAGATTTCGATGAACTAATATTCCCCCGAATTTAATTTGTTGCGAAGAAATTCAGTAATCAAGAAAAGAGTAATGTTCATGGATGATTTACATATGAAAATTATCGTACGAATATTGCAATTATCGTAATTGTGAAACTCTTCAATCTCTAGAAGAGATTCATTCTCCAGAATTTTACAATATGCATACCCATTATATAGGTATACCTAACTAATTTTGACGTTGTCAATCAAGCTGATGGTTGTTGTCTATATCGATACATCCAATAAACGAACTTAATTGTCATTCTTTGACTTAAAAGTAAAAATTAGTGATAATAATAATAGTGATAGATATGGAATCGGATAAAGAAGAAGTTTATGATATACCGCTGGATATATTAGAATCCAGGAAAATGATCATAGGTTTTTCATGAATTGATATGTGGATATAAGGTAACTGAGAACAGCGGGCGGTAAAGTGCACTTTACGGCCCGTGGGCCATAATGAGTGCTTGGGCGATAAAGTGCGACTTAACGCCCGCAAAACCGGGCGGTAAAGTGCACTTTACGGCCCGCTAGTGCATAAAACATTTTACGGTACTGGTGACGGTGTGTTCAAAGGAGTGGCCTCTCCTGTATATTCATACGCAACAATTTTTTTGTTCAGTCGAAGAGTGTATCGTCATGATATCGTCGCATTTTGGACATATTGTTGAAATGTATTTAATTAGAATTGAAATAAGTTTTATATACGTACTGTTAAAATAACGATATAAGTTAATAGGTAGGTAACATATAAACGCTAAAAGCTATTAATAGCATATATTCTATTGCTGAAAATGACTTGTATTTGAAAAAATGGAAAATATCCGCCATTTTGTCGACAATATGCACGTCAACTGTCAATGTCAATTTAGGTGCTGCCATCTCTCTTGTAAATATTTTAGTTTGGTAGCGTCAGTTAGGTAGCTGCGGTAGCTGATGATGTGGCGTGGTATTTGATGGCAACTGCACGAGCAATAATCACAGAAGTACGTCGCATAACTAAATTTCTAAATCAAAATTGCTTTCCGAGAACAACTGCCATCGACTTGCCCTATCCCGCCATTTCTCTGTTATATGAGCGTTTCTTGGCCCTGCATGTCAAGGAAAATTTTGTGTTACGAACCTGTGACTGTGAACTCTAATGTGCTTTTTTCGGTGTGAGACTACGCATATTTTGGAAAGTTTTTGAAGGTTGTGTTTTTCAAATTTTGAAAAGGCACTGTTGAAGTTATTTTGATATTATCACAGCAGATGACACTCGACGCGACGTCATTTTTATTTGATTTGTAAACTGTTGATGTCTAATCAATCTGAAAGCAACCAGGAAAACAAGGAATGCACTATCAGCTCTACCAGGACTACCAGGAGTAACCTAACAAATAATGGAAACTGGTAAGTGGTTCACAAGTTGATAAACTATCGATTCTTATAATTCATAACCTTAAATTACAGAAACGCTTAGTAAATATGAACAAGAATGCCCCGATAAAGAGGATATTTCTCATGGTATAAAATGAACTTACCTGCATTATCAAACGTATAATATCCTCATTTCATCTCCTTTTTAGATGGATTCGGTTCAGCAACTGAAAAGCGTGTTTCAGAGGCCGAAGAGAAATTAGAAAATAAAGGTGAGGTTATGTATTTATGTATCTATGTGCCTCCAAAAGAACAAGCAGATGGGATAATGAAAATTTCACCTATTGAAACAATATCAATCAATATTTAAAATTATTTAGGTACTGAAACATGTGATCCATCCAGTCTATTGGAAAATGATAGTGATGAAGATGTGGAAGAAGAAGAGAAACTTATGCTGAGTCCAACTCATAGTGAAAAGGATTATGACACTGATGAAGACCAAGAAGTTTTGAGTGCTGAAGAAAATGGTAGAGATGATGATTCTGATGAAGAAGACGAAGTCAAGAAGACTGAAGTAGGTGAAAAAGCACAAGAACGAAACATTGTTGAGGAACATGTGGAGGATAAAGAAGTTAGTGAAGCAGAACACCAAACTGAAGAAGATGAAGTGCATAAGGATTCTGAAACTGAGCTTGAAAAAATTCCTGAAGAAAAAGGAGAAGTTCTTGAAAGAAAAGAAAAAGATCTAGTAGGAGAAATAGTTCTTGAAGATGAAATAGTTCCTGAAAAGATCATAACAGATCCTGATGAAAAAGAAGCAGATGCTAACCTTAATACAGATATTGTTGAGGTGGACATGAATCTCCAAAGAGACAATGCAAATATAGTGACTGCTGAGCTTGCTGCAGAAGAAAATGTGAATACCACTGCAGTTGAAAAAGAAAATGAGACTCTTGATTTGAATAAAGATACTGAAGAGTGTGGAAAAGAAGATGATAAACAGGAAAATGATGCTGAACAAGAAACAGCAGAGGAAGAAGTAAAGGATAAAACTTCAGATAAAGTTGAAAAGCTGGATACCAGCAATGCTGAAGATGGCAAAGAGGAAAAAGAAGAAATAAGTAAGTTAGAATCTAAAGACCTTACCTCTGTTGAAAATTCTGGTGAAGAAAGTGAAAATGCTGCTGACAAAACTGAGACTTCTGGCAAAGAAACTGAAATTTCTGGTGAAAAAACTGAAGATACTGGTGAGCAAACTGAAAATTCCACAGAAAAAACTGATAGTTCTACAGGTGAAACTGAGAATGCTGCTAAAGAAACAGAGAATTCTGGAGAAAATAATGACAATTGTCCATTGTTGAAAGAAACATTGACAAAACCAAAAGATGATAATGAGAAGCCTGCAGCAGAAGGTATGTGATTATTGTATTTGAATTAAACAAACTAATTTAGAATAAAATATTCATTCTGAAATTCTATAGCATCCATGCAATTTTTGATGCCAACAGATCATTTATTGAACTTTGATATAACCCCATTTGAAATTTTATTTAGCCAACCATAGAATTTGTAGATTCTAGTTGAAACTTGTCAAATTTTGGGAATTCCTTATTATGAAATTTGATCTAAGTGTCTTGTTGGAAATGTGTTTTATTCCTTATACCCTTGATTTGTTGAGCTTTCATATGAAAGATGATACAGTACAGGGTGATTCACCATAAATTTCCCCCCCTCTAGCTCACTTATTTTTGAACCGATTTAAAAATTTGAAAAATCATCTAAAATGATTTTTCAGAAATGTTTTTCCCTTTGCATCAGAAAATACAGGGTGCTTGAGCCAAACGATCTACAGAGTACTACTTCATTTTTTCAAATGAAACACCCTGTATTTCATTGTATTTTTAGATTCTCCCTGAAGAGCTGATTTCATCAATGTATCACACTTGGGGTCTAGCGAAAATGATAACAGAGATATAGGGTGTTCAAAATCGAGATTTTTCAACTTTAGGATTTTTCTATTCATTATCGGTCAAAACGGCTTTCATGTCCGTATCTCAACTTTTGATTCACTATCTACTGACATTCAATAATTGGAACAGATACAGGTTGATCAGAATTCTGAATCTTGAATCACACTGTATATGTTCCAATTGAATGTCAGTAGATAGTAAATCAAAAGTTGAGATAGGGACATTGAAGCCGTTTTGACCAATAATAAATAGTTTCAACACAAAAAAATCCTAAAGTTGAAAAATCTCGATTTTCAACACCCTATATCTCTGTAATCATTCCCGCTAGACCCCAAGTGTGATGCATTGATGAAATCAGCTTTTCAGGGAGAATATAAAAATACAATGAAATACAGAGTGTTCCATTTGGAAAAATCAAGTAGTTCTCTGTAGATCGTTTGGTCCGAGCACCCTGTATCTTCTGATGCAACGGGAAAAAAAATTCTGAAAAATCATTTTAGATGATTTTTCAAATTTTTAAATCGGTTCAAAAATAAGTGAGCTAGAGGGGGGGGGGCATTTATGGTGAATCACCCTGTACATTCAATGCCTTCTCACCTATATGGAACAGAAAGTTTGTTGAAACTATTTTTTATGAAAGAAGAGTACTATTTGAAGTATCTGCACTAAATTTAGGACATCTTAAGACACAAATTTTGGGAGATATCTTTCTTTTCAGATAATCATATTTCCTTTGGGGATGTCACTATGCTAAGGCATTGGGGCAGTTTGTTTCAAATGTTGATTTTTTTCTGACATTTATAACACAATTTTGTGTTCTTTAGCAAAAAGTTATGATACTGAATGATACAATTCCATTGTTTTTAATGCAGATCTTCTGTAAGACTATTTGACAAGTGAGTTTACCATTTTATTCACATATTTTCTTCTCTGAAATCAACAAACTTATAACCTTAAATATTTCACACACATGATACCTATAAAGGAAAATTCACTTTTCAGATACTCTTCTGGTGATGGCACTGATGGCCTAGAGCCAAAAAGTTTTGAGTTGACTAATAAATATTGTATACTATAGCCTGAGTATTACTCTATTGATTATTAAAAAGTTATGTATTGAGTCTTACTAGAATTAACAGATTCAAGATTGTTCAAATTCTCATGATAAGTTTTTATAATTTCAGTAGATATGGATGTAGAAATGGATGAAATGGAAGATTTTGACCCTTCACTTCTTTGTCCAGACATGTCAATGGAAGTAGAAGAAAATCCTGTCATAACAGACAATGGTAGGTTGTTTTTTCTGTATAATCTACAATTTCTTGTTATACCCCAAAATTATTCCTAGATGCACTTCCCCCAGACAATGAGGGTTCCAAGAGTCTTTTAAGTCTGTGTGAACCAATTTTCTCAACATTTGTGGATGAAATCACTGGAGCAGAAGGTATATCATAATTGAAGTGGAGAGTAATGGATATTATCAATTGTTGCATTTTCTTTTTCAGTTAGTTTTGGTTTGTCATTGGAAGAGATTTCCCTAAGAGAACAGACATATGGACAGAGTGAGTAGAACATAATTTCAGCAATGGTTCTATGATTTTTGGGGCCCTTAGCTCAATAATTCTTGGGGCCCCTTTCCTCATTTCTCCTGTTTTTTTGCTCACCAATACAATAATACCAACTACTATTTTTTTCCAAATACAATCAGAACTAAGCATTTATTTATGGAAGTATATTGGACATGAAAAACAAAAATAACAAGAAACATAAAAAAAAAGGAATTCCAAACCAACTTCCTATTGTATTACAGTACAAGTTCTTATATGATTTTTTAAGTTATTTCAAATCTGAGATCAGATAAATGATGATTGTTATACTATAGGTCAGTTATACTTACAAGAACATAAAAAAGGCTCATTGTACCCCTGATACGAATTTATTCTCCAGTTTTTTATATATCGAAGACTGGAACCTTTGGCACGATAATACACTACACTGTTTTACCACTAACCAAACCGATTTTTTAACGCCTCGACACGTGTTTCGCTAACTATGTTAGCATCTTCAGGAGAAGATTGAAACTAAATATCCTATTCTAGTGTGCTGCTTATATACTAGGTATATGTTCACCCAACTGTGAAAAATATCGAAAAATACTAACCGTCAAGTTAATGTTTGTCATGGTTGAGTTCACATGTTAATCTTAATTTTTATTTCACTAAACTATATAGAGGGCTATATGGAATAGGTCCATTATCCTTATTCATTACTCTATTACTATTCTTAAATATCTCCAAGCTTTCATATGCGTCTAGTTTTCTAATGTTATTAACTTGCTTAACTAATTTGAGGTTAGTAATATGTGCGTTATGATTGTGATTGAATTTATGTTCGGCTACACAAGATTTATCTAACCTGCCACATTTTAAATGGGCTATGTGTTCTTTGAACCTTGTTTTTATGGGTCGCCTGGTTCGGCCTATATATGTTTTATCACAATCATTACAACTTATTTCGTATATTCCCGACTTTTCAAGTGTGTCCACTTTATCTTTTGGATTGCCTAATAAATTGCCTAATTTTGACCCAGACTGATAAACGCTTTCAAAACCTAAGTCTTTGAAAGCCTTATCAAGTCCCTTCGTATACTTGGGATTGAACGGGATTGGGATTCTTCTAGAGTTCTTTTTATCCACTTGAAAAGTCGTAGAATTTCGAAGTGTTAACTCAAATTTATGTCTATGTATTAATTTATCTACTATTTTGGTATCATACCCGCCGTCCAGTTTTTTAGGTTATGAGAGTAATTCATAAAATATTACTATGAGGTAATCAAAGACAGTAACAACAATTATTATGTCTTGGTTTGGTAAATATTTATTATATTTCCATTTTAGCTGATATTTTATCTGACAATTAATGAAAAAAATTGAAATAATAATTTATTACCCAATTACTGAAATTCTGCCAGAAACTTTCTCAACAATTTCCTATAGTAATTTTCTGTAGATTCATAATATGACCTCAGATTTTTGATAATTATTATAATGTTCCGGTCCTGAACTTGGTTCAGGAGACAAGTTATTGAAACCTTTTAGTTTAATTCTTGTACCAAATTTGAACCCAATCGGGTAATCCCTGTACTTAATGTGGCAGATTGATTTTTTTTTTGTCAAAATCCATAAATCACTGTTTCATCTCTGGACACCCTGTATATTAATAAACATCGGATTTGAATCGTTTATGAAAAGATTTAAATATTTTTGAATATTTTCATTTACAACACTAGTTGCCATTGCTATTCTTCAATACATGAATCAGTTTCAACGTAATTTAAAATAGGCATATTAGGTCATTTAAGTTCCTTCATTAACTAACAAAGTATGAGAATTATGGTTCCTCAAATTCCATTTGTGGCTCAAATTAATTATTCTGTGTACTTTCGTTGCCTACTCTGATGTGCTTCGCCCATAATACTTAGATGTGTGAAAATATATCCTGGTACTCTTTTCAAATATATTAACAATGGAAAGAGTTCGTCAAAGAAAAACAAAATACACCAAGTCGGTCGACCACAAAATTATATTACACAATTACTAGTGTGACTAGTTTCGGCTAAACAGCCATCTTCAGACACAAATTGAATAAAGTACCTGTAAGAGATGAAATTACAGACGAACAATAAGTTTGCCGAGGAAAAAACATACCTAGGCCATGTGGTGATTACAAATTCAACAAATAAAATAAAATATCAAGCGGTTATTTCAACATAAATAATCAGTCCGGTAAGGGGGTGATTAATTTTTCATAACGGCTGAACAGCCAAAAGAACCTCATAATCATGAGGTTCAACATTGGCACGAAAAAGAAAAATAAGTTATTTAAATTCACTCAACTGAGTTTCATCTTGGATGGCTATTGAAAGACAGAAATCCAGAAATCGCCGAAGTAAGCGAATGACAGTGACAGCATGACAAGACTGAATGACAGTGACCAATTATACAAACTAAATGACATGACAAAATGTTTGCATGAAATTCACATTTCGAATTTCAATACCAGTTCATACCGGAAATCGCCGTACTGTGCTGGGAGCTACATATATAACAAACTACCAGTCACAATAAGAAATGCTACAACATTGAATATTTTCAGGAAGAAAATTCATTTTTTTCTAGTAGAAAACAGTTTTTATAGCCTGAAAGAATTCTTTGAAAGTAATAAAATTTTGTGATTATTTCTTTGTCCGTTTGTCATGAAAGATGTGTGCTCTATTGAAATATTATACAGATGTGTATATGCATACATGTATATGCATACATGTATATGCATGTATGTTTTGTTAGTGTAAGTTTGTGTTTATATCATATTCTTAGTCTATATTATTTTATTTATACTCATGACAAAACCTTGTGTTCTCTGTAGCACTTTTATGGTAAATAAATTATTCTATTCTCTTCTAATAATTAGAGTTCGAATTAGGGTATTAACAATGTTGCACGTATAGGTACAATTGGCATTTCGTTGCGAGGTAGGAAAATCCCATTTGGATGGTGTAAATGTACAAAGTATGAATCTGATATGGTACAGACAATATATACAAATGAATTATATACTTGGGTGGGAAGATTTCCCACAGCACTAGATCCCCTTGAAAGATTCTGTGTATCCCAAAATCCCTACATGGAATAATGTTCGACGTTGCTTTAAGAAAACCCGGTGCAATTCACGAAAATCCACTGCACCGCTTGCAACGTCCATCTGGGCAGCGCACTGGACAGCCAGGGCAACCGTTTCGTCCATCCGCTGCTCAAGGTGCTCATCTGCAAAAAGTGCTACCACTTTTACACTAGCGGCGAATTCGAAAAGGACGAGGACGGCAGCGAACTGTATTGCCGGTGGTGCGGCCAGGGCGGGAAGGTCATGTGCTGTTCCACCTGCGAGAAGGTGTTCTGCAGGGTCAGTTGATAAAATTTTTGAATGTTCGATTATCTTCCTGCCTAGATTGGTTGGTGTTCATAGGAGTTTTTGTGGAAGTGACAAGCCACGCTTTTTGGCTTGAGCCACATCAAGAATGGGGAAGTTTCCTTGAGATGAATTTTCATGAAATAAGTTCGGAACCATTCAGTTTTATGTCCACGCGGCAAATTGTGACGTACATTCTGAATCTAGTCTGAAAATAGCTGATGGTGAGGAATATAGCTAGCGAATAACTAACGAATAGCTTACGAATGAAAAAAATAGAAGCAAAACTGGTAAACAAGAACATACATAACCACAAATGTACTCGGGGCAGGAATGCAGAGGGTAGTTGGCTTCATTCTGACAGATTGTTTTGTTATTTATGTATTGAAATATCTCGAATAGAGCTCGATCCTAAATGAAAATATCATTGAATCACTACCGGCTACATTCAATGATACTATCCTTCCTAATTTACTGCCATCGGTCAGAAGAGAATGATGCCGACAACCATGGCTCCCTCTTGTTGTGCCTGTCAGTATTTTGAGTGATGTGGGCGGCCTCGAAGTATTAGGCGCTGTTGCAAAATATAATATGCAACTTTCCTAGAAATAGATTCGTTTTATTAAGGAACGAATTCATTAGCAAAAAACGATTGTGAAAAATTATAGATACTATCGCAAAATATCATAATTTATCTTTATTAGTAATCAACTTCATTCAGACAATGAAAGATATATAGGAGTTATTCATATTACTTGACAAAGTAAGATTGAAGAAGCTATTATATTCCATTGCTGTTATGATATAGTTATTATGCATTCAAAGAACAATTTCCGTAAATCTAGACATACTGATGATGTCGGCAACGTCGTACTGGCACAGGGAAACGTATTTTAACTTAACTGTGTGAATGTGAATTTTCAGAAGGTACGTAATAGATAATCAAGGGTCATAGCAATGGTGGAGGAGCCAAGTTCCTCTTTCATTTATTTTTTTCTGAAGTGAAATTTTTACTTACGAAAAAAAGAAAAAATACATCAATTTTTTACAAACTTCACAGTGAGATAAGAACCTCAACATAGGAAACTTCCCCATTGGTTCTACAAAAGCGTAGAGTGGTCATATACAAGGTGTTCCATTACTAATTGGAAATATTTCAACGATAGAATCCTGAGCTAAAAATATCAGATCAGAGTTTATACAAGTATACTTCTATACATTTCAATTTTCATTTCTATACTACACATCCACATAATACACATCAAAATAAAAATAACTGCAATTTCATGTTCCGCTTCGTTTTTTTTTTCAAAAATGTAATTGATTCATGTTCGTGTGTGGCTTGTCACGTTCTACCAATAAACGGCCTGAATTTATGGATTTCCAGTAATGTGAAAATTGTGATAGTTAATACTAATATCTGGCTTGACTTTGCATTGAAAAGATGTCTCATCATATTTGATTTGATTACAGAAATGCATCCGAATCAATTTTGATAGAAAGAAAATGATGTCGATCCGAGATAGTGATGAATGGAAATGCTTTGCATGTAATCCTTCCCAGCTTATCCATCTTAGAATTCACTGTTCAGCCTTCATGGATTACGTCCAAAGAGAAATGAGGTGAGTGGATAACATTTTCGGAATAAACATCCATTATGTAATGAAGTTCAGAGAAAGACAACAACAAAAAAACTAAAAATCTGATTTTTACGTCAATTAAAAAACATTTTTTAAGAGGTCCCACTTCACATCAAAACATGATGAAACTAAATTTTGTCCCTTGATTATTCTACAAGTTGTTGGGTATTCAAAAAAAAGTATCTCTTCTTTCTTCCTGGCATGACAATCCAACTCAAATTTCCAAGAATCATTAATTTGAAGAACGGAAGAAGGACAAGAATTTATATTTTGCCACACTGCAAACTTGAATATGAATTGGAAGTGATCCCATTCCGCCCGAAATTTTGTTAACCCTTTATCGGTCCGCTTCTGATAAAATCATGGGCTATTTTATGGACCATGTGACCATATGGTCACATTATATTCATAAGCGTGTATTCTTAATTCCCTGTAGTTCTTTATCTCACAGACAATGAAACCATTATTTGGTAACAAACAAGCTTAGGAGGATTTTTGTTCGTTAATTTTCCATGTTAAGTTGCGTACATGTGTAAATGGTGATGTTTAGAAGTGTTAAGTTCGATTATTTTCATTGGAATTTTCGTTTTGGCTCCTTTCATAAACCTGTATTGTTTTTTGTTCACGTGTATATTAGTTTCAATGAGACATTTTTTTACTTTGAATGAGCGTAGCCATTATTTCACATTTTGTTTCAGTGGAATTTTCGAAAATCTCAGATGGATCACACAATTCCGATATGATGAGGAAAATACGACTCATAAATATGTGTCCTGAATAGTTTCGTTTTTGAATGCTTGGTTGTTTTATAGAAAGGACTGTACTGCTTAGCAAACAGACTTTAGGTTAGATATCATCGCAGGTTTGTCCCGATGTGGTAAGGAATCCAGGAGATGGTATTTCGAGGGACATCCAATTTTTCATACTGTAGAATCACCAATCATTCAACGTCAAGTCGCCTGAAGAGTGAGATATATGAAAGTTGGTTATTTCTCACTGACACTAAAAATTGTTTCAAATGCTCATTCAAATAAAGGAAATACTGCCGTTCGAGATTATTGTAAAAATGTCCTGATTCCGAATCTGAAGTGATTTTTGACCTATTTTGACTCCTAATGTCATTGTTGGTATATCTCTCACTCCCGTAAATTTCAGGAGCCTTACCCAACGATTACGTAAAATCCAGGGGTGTTTCCATTAGAAGTGGGTCACACTGTATGAAAATTGTATGATTTGAGTTATTTTATTGGCATATGTAACCATATGGTAACAACATTCAAAATCGTAAACCATTGTTAGACCATTTTGATGTCTTGCTGGATAAGGGGCATGAAAAATTGTGTAGCCATATGGTCACTCAAACCGATAAAGGATTTGATGGAAGAGAACAATCCATCAATAATAATAAAAACCATCTCGAGATATAACATCAAACTCCATGATACAATATAAGCACAGCAGAAGAATTTTTGGAGGACGGAATGTGATCACTCTAAATTCGATGCAGTGCAGTGTTGCATTCATCACTATGTGATATTTGGTCACAGAACACTGAAATTATACAGTGTTGCCAAGTTTTAGGGCTCCTTTTAGAAGGAATACTCAAGGGAGGTCTATAAAACAAGTTTAACGTCAAGTACTGAGAAGTCCTCAAGGAATCCTCAGATGAGGAAGACTTGAGGAGCTCTTGAGGAAACGACTATAAATACGGGCCTAAAACCTAATACTAGGTTGTTGAATAATAATGCTGTGGTAATTCGTTCAAGGGATACTTCTTCATTACCTTCAAAAACATTTTTCTGTGTTTTTTCAGAGAGTAATTCAATAATTATTGCTATTTCAGTCGGGTATCGTCTGCGGAAGATCCGAACGCCTTATTGCATACTGATTATTCCCGATGCTTCAAAAACAATGTTCTGTGTTTTTTTCATCAAACAATGAGAGTAATTCAATAATTATTGCTATTTCAGTCGGGTATCGTCTGCGGAAGATCCGAACGCCTTTTTGCATACTGACTATTCCCGATGCTGTTTGCCTGTCAAGAAGAAAGCCGTGGATACGCCGACAGGAGAACCGAAGCGGAAAAGGAGGAAAAATGTGGAACTGGAAGATCCGGATTATGATCCGTTGAAGGAGGAAGAGCAAGTGGCTTCACCTCTACCTCCGGCCTCTTCTGCTGGTGCGAATGCTGCTACACCAGGTAATTGAGAGAGAGAAAATATGTCTTTCCCATCTGTCCTTGTTTTCAGTGTTCTAACGTAAAATAATGAAAATTTTGTGTTGGCAAGAGTATATTACACACCGAGGTGGGAAGAATGAATGAATGAATGGAAGAGAATTGATACCTTCTATGATAATCACGATCAATTATTATCAAGCATGAATGAAACAATCAAATGAAAATGTCCAAAACTCCTATAAATTTTCAGCCAATGCCACTCCTGGACCGAGTCGACTAAGTGCGCTCAGTCCCAAATCGGATGAGCCCAATAAAGTTGTCACCGCACAGACCCCAACGAGCACTATAGCGAGGGTGGGTAGCGTGAATATCAGACCCATGGGGAGTTTACAGAGGCCTAAAGTTCAAGTTATGGGTCCGGCTGGTAAGTGATGGTTTGCTCAGAATTTTTACACAATTGACATTTGGAACGATCCAACTTGACTTCATCTACTACAAATGTTGTTAGGACTGTCATATAGCAAATCTTATGGAACTGTTGAAAACTTATAGAGCGGTTAGATACGATTTATACAATGACTTCACAATCCAAATGTTATGAAAGATTTTGATAATGAAATATGTTTTTGAGAATGCTTCACAATCCTTATAAAGATATAATGATTCTATTTCACGATCAGGTTAAAATTTTGGAAATACCTAGTATAAAACCAATGTTCAGTTTGGATGTTGTGAGATGCATTCTGAATATCAAATTATGGTATTGACAATCGAAGTTGAAATCAAGATTGGTAAACATGAAAAACTGAAGGCATTTAGTTATAATCGATAAACATTACTTTCCCAACGAAGTTTTCTGACGAAAATATGGGCGAAACGCTGCAATTCATTTCCCATTCAGGTTTATCATAGAGTTGGCATCATATATGGGAAGAACTCTCAACAATAATTTGTTTCGAAATTCGACTTGTACGTTGAGTTTTGCTTCAAAATAGATGAAAAATTGCCAACTCGGTCAGAGTCACGTGACTTTCGCCACATGTCAAAATCTACATTTTTCCAAAAACCGCTGAAAATTGGCTTATTTGTTCAAATTTCAAGAAAGTTAACTAGGAAAAGTTGTTTCTTTGAACAAAAATAAGATTATCTTTGAAGAACAAAAATCTCCGCTGTTTGATGCGAAGTTGATATGTAATGTCTAGTATTCAGGAGTAAATTTCATTGGAATGGATTTTTTCAGTACTAAAATGAATAGAAGGTTCAAATCCGGGATACATGTGTAAAATTGGAATAGAAATAGTAGTGGCAGGTGGGGAGACTGTAGCCAAGCAAGTAGACCCCGATGGGCCCTTTTTGCTAACCCCTGCTCTCCACCTACCCTTCTTTCACCTAGATTTCCTTTACGAATCTCCCTGACCTTTTGATGAAGGCCAGTATGTCCGTCCACTCCTTCCTTGATTTGCTTGGACCGGCCATGAATTCCTTGGCCTGCCTGCAACCTGTGATACTCGTCCAGTATTTTCCTATTTATCGAGGGCTGACGTAATTTGGCTGCTTGCTATACCTAGTACAGCCTCCGGTCCCAGAAACGGCTCCGCGGATCCGTCCCTAGCAAATTTGTCTGCTGTTTCGTTTCCGGCTGTGACTCGGGGCCCATACTAGTTCATCTTCCTTTGGTTCGGCTAATATCTCAAGAGCATTTCCACATTCCTGTACCAATGCTGAGCTTGGTCTGGGATGACAGATAGCCTTGAGTGATTTCGCGTCTTGCCTCTCTGCTACGACCTTGATGCCGAACACCTCAGCTTGGAAAACTGTGGTGTATTTTCCTAGAGCGTAGCATTCTCGTATGTTCCTCCCTTCGAGATAGATCCCTGCGCCCGAGGCCTATTTGTCAGTCTGTGTAACATACTAAGCTTCCTGGGCGAAACTCCATTGTATTGATTCTCCCTTTTTCGTATTCCATCTCAGCCTGACCTGCCCTTTATTCACTCTGAGAGTGGAGATAGAAATCTCCTGCTCCACCCACCCCAATTCTGTATTGAAGAGAGTCATTGAGATAAAGGACTCAAGCATAATATTTGATGTTAAACTAACTTTTAGAAGTCATATTACTAAGGTAGTGAACACTGCTTCAATTAACTTAGGTTTCATTACTAAGAACAGTAAACAATTCTCTCCTGAAACACTTAGTTCACTTTATTGCCATTTGGTCAGACCTTCACTAGAGTATGGTTCCTTCATTTGGACACCTTTTTATCAAATACATATTGATAGTTTGGAACGAATTCAGAAAAGGTTCTTGAGGTTCATATCGCAAGGGTTATCACGTTGCTCATATAAACTACCCAGATATCTTAATGGAACTTAATCTCCTAACTTTAGAGAATCGTAGATTAGTGTTGGATATGTGTTTCCTATATAAATTGGTAAATGGCCTTACTTCTCCAGATCTGCTTAGTTTGATTAGATTCAATACGTCGGCCAGAACAAGAAATCCTCCTTTATTTTCTTTGTCCTTTCACTCAACGAATTATGCCAACAATAACCCTATTTCAAGGCTTCAAAGGAATTATGTCGTCCTTCAAAATCATTGTGACCTATTCTGTGGCAGTCTAAGTGGATTCAAAACTAATGTTGTGAAAATAATTATGAATACCTAGTTGATGTAATGAGTATAACTTGAGTGCTATTTTTCTATGAGTGTAATTTTCATTGCTCCTATTATTATTCATCTTTTGTTATTTTTTCATATGTAATACCACAAGTGATAATATTTTGCCGGAAATATTCGGTGATTGTTACGACAGCTTGTGCCCAGTAATTTCGTGAATGATATTTTTATCAAAACTACGAGCCGTAGGCGAATAGTTTTGGATCATGTCATGAGCGAAATTAGAGCAGCAAGCTGGAGTATGTCGATCGACGAATATTTCCAGGAAAAATAGTATCACGAGTTGTGTTTGTATGACTATTTCATGATTGAATGAGACAATATATATAAGAAATAAGAAACATTATTTAAGTATATTCCAACTCAAACTGCGAAGAAGAATATAATGATAGCAATGAAATACAGAATTCAATGTTTTAGAAATTAACTACCTACTTATAGTTATTCACAAAGTGGAATGTACAATTTTGATAAAAAGTATTTTTTTATTATCTTGGAGATGGTTGCTCTCAAAAGAGTGTGAACAATTGCTATCCAATTCAAAAAATAAATTGAATTTATGTGACATGAAACAATTTAAAAAAAAGATATCGTCGCCGAGGGGCTCGAACCATCGACCTTCGTATCAACGCGCAACAACCCTATCAGTTGAGCTACATCATCTGGTAATTATATTAGTCACAATAACTAGAGTGATTGAAGAAGATTACTTCAAAAAGGAATTTGTATCTAGTATTGTTGTGTCAGACCGTCAACAAATATGCAAACTTTTTAAATTACACATGAATCGTCCAGCCAGAATGAAATTGTCTCGCCTTTCGTACGAAATGTCTCACTAACGCGAATTATAAGTAAATAAACTAAAGTAGGCAGGTAATTAGGTTATTGTCTCAGATTTGAATCCAAAGCAATCTTGACCAGACACGAAGTCAAAATTTCATCGCTGATAAACGAGGTTTGTTGGTCACGTGTGGGTCAATTCGGCTTCTGTATTGGTAGAGCAAGTCCGATAAAATGTAATAAACAAAAAATATCGCTAGAATACAGAAGAACCCGTAAAAATGGTCGATTCTGATTGGTTCTCGAGATAAAAAAAAAAAACTATTTATTGCCCAAACAGGTACAAGACCCACTTACAGGACAGCTTTTTACAGTGTGTAGATGTAACTGTGAACAATTACTAAAATCTAAGAGCCAAATAAAGTATTTTGATAAATCATTCAGTAGTTGTAGAAAGTGATTTCAATTGTAAATAATAATGATAATAAAAAAAAGAAAACGGAAGGAAACATAATATAACATGTATTAATGAATAACATATGAATAAAGAGGGATTTTTTCGTATTTGCCTCGTAAACATCACAAGGTAGAAAAAATATGTTTTATTTCCTTTTTGAACACTCCAATGGGAGTTGAAAATATATCAGTTTTTTCGCATATCCGATTGAACTTTCTGCACATCGAATGAATTGGAGATTTCAATTGTATATTTGTTCTTGGAGTTGGTAAATAAAGACAAAGTTCTACTGTTCAAACGAGGTTTGTTGAAATTTAGTTGAGATAATAACTCTGGGCAATCAGTCAGGTTGTTTGTGAGTTTATAGATAAATATGCAAGAGTGGTAAGTTCTACGGTCCTCCAGAGACAATAGTGAAAATCTGTTTAATAATAAGTTATTATCTAAACCTTGTTCAGAATAAATTCCATCAATTCTATATACAATATACTTCATGAATTTCCGTTGAGTGTGTTCCACAAGAGTGGAATAGTCTTTTATAAAAATGGTATAACCCTTGTAATAAATGAATAGATGAATAAATATTTTCAATTGCTATTCCAGGCCCGTCGACCTCAGCCGGCGCTGGCTACTCGCGCCTCCCCCCGACTCCAGGCCCGCGAGGCCGCCCGTCCGCCCCGCTCGCCCCGCGCCTCCACACCACCCGAGGCCCCGCCCCTCGAGGCCCCGCCCCCCGCGGCTCGGTGGCCGGCGCGCATCCGCGCCCGCCCGTGCTGAGGCCGCTGCGCCCCGCCCCGCCGCCCGCCATGAAGCACGAGTGGTTCGAGAAGACGGTTCGGGCGGCTGCGAGGGTCAACTCGAATCTGTCCTATACGCTGACGCAGCTGAACAGGTAGCGTTATAGATAGATGAGCTGTATTGTCTAAAATGAACACGTTTTGTCGACAAAGGCAATATCTTGCGATACATATTGATTGCGAGATATAAATAAATTACATGGAACAAAAATATATATAAACTGACATAGAACAAGTATCTTCATCATTACAAAGAACATGTCTCTTTAAAATCAATAATATGAATCTCTAATGCATATTGTATTTTTTCATCGGTTTCGAACACTTATATTTGCATCGCGGTCTTATTCATAATAATCATGTGAAATCTATCTGATTTAGTAAATAATTAATTAGACAACAGCAAATGTCAGTTGATAGTTGTCAACTCAATCGCCCATCTCGCGGACCTCGCCGTAGCGGACGAAAAGTTAGTGTCTGTGGACGAAAAGTACGAAAAATATATATATATATATATACAGGGTGGGTCACGGTAGATGGCACCTTAGACGTTTACGGAGAACGGGACATAAGATCATTCTGAAAATTTGGTTACTCAAGTAATTGCTCTTGATCTATCGATCTAAAATATTTTCAGCTCTGCGGCGTTGCCGCTTCTATCGAAAAGTAACAACAACTTTGTTATTTTAAATGGAACACCCTGTATTTTATTGCATCTTCAGATTCTCTCTGAAGAGCTGATTTCATCGATATATAGGGTGTGAAAAATCGACATTTTTCAACTTGAGGAATTTTTTTTGTCGAAACTTCATTATTGGTCAAAACGGCTTACATGTCCCTATCTCATCTTTTGATTAACTATCTACTTATATTTAATTGGGACATATACCGGGTGATCAAGAATCTGAATTCTGCACCACCCTGTATTTGTTTCAATTAAATGTCAGTAGATAGTTGATCAAAAGTTGGGATAGGGACATGTGAGCCGTTTTGACCAATAATGAATAGGTTCGACAAAAAAAATTACTAAAGTTGAAAAATGTCGATTTTTCACACCCTATATCTCTGTAATCATTTCCGCTAGACCCCAAGTGTGATACATCGCTCCAGAGAGAATCTGAAAATGCGATAAAATACAGGGTGTTCCATTTAAAATAACAAAGTTGTTGCTTCTTTTCGATAGAAGCGGCAACGCCGCAGAGCTGAAAATATTTTAGATGGATAGATCAAGAGCAATTACTTGAGTAACCAACTTTTCAGAATGATCTTATGTCCCGACCGTGACCCACCCTGTATATATATGTTTCTGAAACTAGTTTCAATTTTGGTTGAGATCATCAACATGAATCAATAATGAAAAATTAACGGCCCATGCCTATGGGTGAATCGTTTTTATAATTACCCCAATATGATTCATTTTCAAATCGAATCCAAACAGCAAAAAGAAGCCTTTTGGAAAAATTTTGAGTGCAGGATTCCAGAATACTCAGAAAATTATAATTATGCACAATGTCTTGATTATATAATAAGTATTTTTTTACAATACAATTATATATTTATTATTATTATTATAGGGCGCAGGCGAACGCGACCAGTGTGGAGGGGTTGGCTGTGGTGCACAACAAGTTGCAGGAGATATTGAGCACAAGTATCAACTCGTTGATACAGATCAGGAAGAATTTGCGATCGGAGTTCATAGTTGGTGAGTTTTCTGATGTGATAATGATGCAGTAGTGACAACTACGCTTGTCCTTTCAAGATTAATATCATAAAGATATCATTTAATTTTCACGGTTATACAGAACACAGTGTGCTGCAAAATGTTTGTATGTAGTATAAAATACTACCACAAACTAACAGAAATTATTCTCTATGTCCATTGTCGTTCTAAATGAAAACCTAGTTGATAGGCGAGAGATAATATAATATTATCTGTTCATTGGAGAAAAAATTCGAAAATCGCCCTTTCTGACCACATTTTCAGTATGCTAGTGACCTCTATTCCAAACTTAGCTATTCAGTTCTTATCCTAACCTAAGAAAATTTTCAAATTCCTGTCAAGATCCACTTTTTTATAAAGTTCATAATGAAACATCATGCAAGTACAACATACACAAATAAAAAAAAGCAGGATACATAAAGAATAAACTGTTTCTCAGGCAATAATAAAATTCTTAATTCATTGATGTTATTTGAATTTGATTAGGAACTGGAAACTGCTTATTTACTGACTACATTATCTTTAATCCTGAGGTTCCTTTGTTTTTGCTATACCTGCTAAATTGCCTTTTTCTGATTTCCTCTGTTTACATTATGCCATGAACAGACACAACTATGGGAACAAAATCAACTTCATCAAGGTCGGCAACACGAACGAACAGACGTCTGAATATCAATTCATTATTATAAAATAAATTCTAGTTATGTGGCTCAATCAGACACTCTTACCTGATGTTGTTGGAAGTCATTGCATGTTGCCTCAAAGAAAGGATTGTTGAAGAATTCACATACCTCTACCTCTTGTAGAAGTGTGAAATGGAACACCAAAATTAAACTAACAACAAACCAACAATTAACTGGGTATCAACAAAGAAAAAATTAAGACATTTCCAATAATTTGATATTCCTTGGCATAAGCCAGAAAAGAAGTTGTTTTCTTTTAGATATTTAACCAATTTCTATTTCTCGAAAAACAAATTTTCTGTTTCAGGCATCAAAAACATCCGCTTCCCCTCGAAAAACCCTCCCCCAGCGACCTCGTCCGCCCCTGCCAAATCCACCCCGACCACCACCATCGTCGACGACGACGTCATCATCGTCAGCCCCTCCTCCTCCCCACCACCCCCACCTGCCCCGCCCGCTGCCCCCGCCACACCCTCCGGCACCGTCAACTCGGCCATCGACCTGCCCCCTTCGGTGTCCTTCTTCAAACGCTCCCCCAACAACAAACCGTCGCCGCTGAACCACGCCCCCGTGGCGGGGTCTAGCGGGGCGGGGCCTAGCGGGGCGGGGTCTAGTGGGGCGGGGCCTAGTGGAGTGGGGACGGCCACGCCCACTGGTCGGCCGTTCCTGCGGGTCAAGTCGTTCTCTGCCCTTCAGAGCGTGTCTTCGGAGTGCATCACGATACCCGACGATCCGCCCCCGGAGGCCTCCAAGGGGGAGGATGTGCTGTTGGTGGTGGGGGATAGTCCTGTGAGGGACGATGATAAGGAGAAGGGGGCGACTCCGGAGGGGAAGAAAGACGACGCGGTAGTGGTGAAAGATGAGAATAGGGTGGCCGAGGAAAGGGAGACGGTGGTGGAAGTTGTGGAGGATTCGAAGGAGACTGGGGGGGAGAAGGAGGGTCACGCGAATGGTTTGACGAACGGGGATGATGGGGGAAAGGAGGAAGTGGAGCTTCGGGGTCTGGAGAATTTGGATCCGTTGGAGAAGAAGAAGATTCTCAATACGAAGATCGTCATCGAGAAGTCGGAGGAGATTGACGAGTTGGCGAAGAGTAAGTTTGGGTTGCAGAACGGAGAGGTTTTGGAGTTGTGAGGGTTTGTTGATGTCGGACTTTGGTGAAGTGCTGCGGGCATTTTGTGCTCGCTTTTTCGAATTGGCCCTGGTGGCTGCTGAGTTTTTGTCCAAATGTTAACTTTAGCTGAGAAGCTACATCAAATCTATGGATTTTTCGGCACACAATGTTTTTATATTATTGAGTTACTGCAACCTGATTTTTATCAAGATTTGGGATAATATTTCTTTCGTTTTTAATATTTCTTCTGTTCAGTTTTGAAAAGTACTGTAAATATTTTTGTTATGTAATGGATTAAAAAATATCAATATCATTTTGTAAATAGCAGAACTGTGTTTAATTTCAAAAATCCATCCCTATTCGAATGCCAAAGGATTTATTTTGGGGGCTACCTAAAAGGTTAATTTCTTAGAACTTTTTTCATCTCAAGGCGAGAATGGGCTTTAACTTGCATTCCGGGTGCTCTCCATTTGCTGAATAAGGATCTAAAGTAAGTTTTCTCCTATAAGCGAGTGAATTTTAGATTGCAGCGCCAAAGTGGCTGGTTGTGGAACTAGATGAAAGTACATTGTTTTGAAATGGTTCATTTGACTGTGTATCATTTCGATTTTTTGGTAGTGATCTAAGCAAAGAAAATTTTATTCTGACTGTTTATTTGTGTACTCATGTGATTCGGGGGAGCTTTTCAACAGATATCCCTTCATTAAACTGTTTCATTACATCAAATTCAAGAGATTCCCAAAATAAAAATGCCCCAATGTGAGGTTACTTCAGTCTGCATTTCGTTCCCATTCAATAGTGAAATAAATATTGCAATTCAAGTGGTAGTGGAAGAGAAAAAATTCTCAATGCTATGTATGTACGAGTAATTGATCTATCTAGTATAGAAAAAATTGAATATCATGTTCTTTGCTTTTGAGCATGGATTTCATTTTTTGAATCTTCTATATCTCCTAGTTTCCTAGATAATCATGTATTTCTTTTTCTGTACCTCACACAAGCGTATTTTGAACGGTTCCTTGCTCTCATAGACTCATAGCTATCCTACAATGTTTCTTCTTCTCATGATCAATTATGGAGGTGGACATTTCCCAGAATATAAAACAGAATAAGTTGTTCATTTGTTATTCAACCTCAAACACAAAATAAAACACATACGAACCGTGTAAAAAACTGATGAAGAAATAGACCTACCTTTAAAGCAGCAAAACCGTTTTTGTTCCAGACTAAGTAGCTGATTACAGGACATATTTTTTTTGTCTAGCAACAATACCCGCCCTTCTAAAAACAATTAACAAGGTAGTGTGAATTTTAAAGAAAAATAACACTGAAATAACTTTTATTTCCAGTTGATAGATAAATAACAAATTATGTAAAAAACTATGACTTGAAATGAATATGTACACCAGGGTACTAAAAACAGAATTCTCAATTCTTATTTTTCAATTTTGTTTCTTCCCTATCACTTTCTTCAACTACTTCACTTTGTACATCTTTACTTCTATCCACTGCTTGTTCTATTTCCCCTATATTTTTCGTCCTATTGTTGTTTAAATCAGTATCTTTCTCAGAATTGCTTTCTTTCTTACCTTCTAAAACTAACCGAATGGCATTCAAAAGTTCTAACTTCTCAGATGTAGTCAGTTTACTGCCTATAATTGGGAAAAAATAATCATCAGTGTAGTTCACTTTATTTACAATTGAAAAATTAGATATTGTCTAAAGTTCTGGCTGTGCTCTTGCTCTTAACCGAAAATAGCTCTTTTAATTTTATCTAACAGTCCAGGTGTCTCTTCAGAATGTTTCACTTGGGTTTTTGCCTCTGATCCAGCAAGTGGAATTTCTTCATCATTTTTTCCTGCCAAACAAAAATTATTTTCAACCCAAAATTCCCACAAACCCAAACGAAACATTCAAAAGCTAATTTCTGTTGAGTAGAATCAATACAAAAAGCCTGGAAACTATTCAAAGATAAACAGTAGGTATAACAATAAGCAACATTATTCAATTAAAAAAATGATACTGAACTAGAAATGGTATTTTAATGCCGACCAAAATATCACTCACCATCTTTTCTGATCGTCACTCCCAAAATCGTTCCAGGCGTGTCTTTTTCCAATTCAGCATAGGCCATTGCCAAGGCCTTCTGCTTTTCATCCAAATGCTTGGGAATAACCACCTTGAAGGTGACATAATGGTCGCCATGTCCATATCCATTGACACGTTTCATCCCCTTGCCGCTCAAACGAATTCTTGTGTGTGAAGAAGTGCCAGGCATAACCTTGAAAAATGTGGAATAAATCAAGGAGATGAAATTTCCGTTTCTCTAGATCTTTGGAATTTTCGAATCAAATGCCTTTGAAATTTCCCTATTAACCCAGATATGCCTAATGTCCTATATGTAGTACACCTATGTTAGCTCTTTTTTCTTCAACACTAGTGCAATATTTTTATATATAGCATTTATTCATCACATAAAATGATTATGGACATGTCGAAAATATTCACAGACTTGCTTGATTTGTACCCAACAACAGGTTGAAGTAGGTTTCTTCAGCAAATTGATGATTAGAATGTACAGGGTGATTCACCATAAATGTCCCCCCCTCTAGCTCACTTATTTTTGAACCGATTTGAAAATTTAGAAAATAATCTAAAATGATTTTTCAGAAATTTTTTCCCGTTGTATCAGAAAATACAGGGTGCTCGGAACAAACGATCAACAGAGTACTACTTGATTTTTTCAAATGGAACACCCTGTATTTCATTGTATTTTTAAATTCTTCCTGAAGAGCTGATTTCATCAATACATCACACTTAGGGTCTAGCGGAAATGATTACAGAGATATAGGGTGTTCAAAATCGAGATTTTTGAAATTTAGAATTTTTTTGTATCCAAACTATTCATTATTGGTCAAAATGGCTTCTATGTTCCTATCTCAACTTTTGATTTACTATCTACTGACATTTAATTGAAACATTTACAGGGTGGTTCGAGATTCAGAATTCTGATCACAATGTATCTGTTCCAATTATTAAATGTCAGCAGATAGTAAATCAAAAGTTGAGATACGGACATGAAAGCTGTTTCGACCGAAAATGAATAGTTTCGTCATAAAATAATCAAGTGTGATGCATTGATCAAATCAGCTTATCAGGGAGAATCTAAAAATACAATGAAAGATAGGGTGTTCCATTTGAAAAAATCAAGTAGTCCTCTGTAGATTGTTTGTTTCGAGCACCCTGTATTTTCTGATGCAACGGGAAAAAACTTTATCGAAAATCATTTGAGATGATATTTCAAATTTCAAAATCGATTAAATAATAACTGAGCTAGAGGGGGGACATTTATGGTGAATCACGCTGTACGCTTTTTTTGGTGAATTATTTTTTCATTTTTATAGTTATGTTCACATCCAATTTGTGGTCTTAATGATCAGGTAAATAACATATCTCGGTTTTATTGTTGCCGTCCTACATATAGGACATTAGGCAGCTATATGACCTTTTCTCATTTGATAGATTTTTTTGCTTATATGAAGCAATCGCTGTATTAAAAGAATCTGATGAAAAAAAGATGAATTCAATTCAGGATATAACAATTTTTCCTCCAATCAACACAACTACTGATTTGACAGATGACGATTCGGGCGAGAACACTTTCATTAAAAAAGATGCCAGGATCTCCAATTGGTTGGTGTTGTTGGAAGTTTAGCTTCAGAGGGTGATGTGGCATTATTTGAGATAAAAAAATTCATAGAGGAAGAGAAGAAGAAAACCAAGAAAGTAAGTGAAAAAAAAAAGGATAATAAAAGATTGGATAGAAAAAGATCTGCCAATAAAACTATAAAATTTTATCAATAATGAAAAACAAATAAAAAATCTGTTGGCCTACTGGAGAACTTATAATGCAAGAAACTATAACAAGTATATTCAGCAAAAAAATAAAAAAGGCAATATCTGAGATGGAAAACCCTCATTGGAGACTTGATTCTCAGTTGATATATTCGAATTCCATGCAGAAGAATGTTATATTGGAAAAGAGAAAGATATGGAAAAAATGGGTTAGTAACACTAGTAACAGAGACAATCTATAAAGACAGAAAGATAAGAGAATAATAGAATATCACTGACTTGATGATTTAGTGATTTCACATGTCAAACAAACAATATGTGCCTTGTCCTTTCAAAAAATTCAGATGTTGGACTTCACACACAGTGTTTCATCATGTATTATCAAAAAACAAAACCAGTTTCAATTTTCATCCCTAGGTGCCTAATGTCCTAAATGTAGGACGGCCAGATTTTTGAATCTCTCAAGAAACAAAAATTATAAAATACATACACTCCATTTATTTTGACCACAGTCACAGAACACAAATATGAAGCATTCAAAGTTCTGATTTCCTCATGAAAGATTTATTCATATCTGGGTTAAAAACCTAAGAAAGAAAAATTCAATTGAGTCAGTGACACCTTATTTGAAGAATTTAAAGTTGAAGAATATAGGTGATATTTTGAGGCAAATGACCTGATGTGTCCTTACTACAGATATATTGAAATAATAATGTTATTTTCATTGATAAAAGAGAAAAAATCTCAAAATGTAGAGAAATGTGTTATTTAGTCTTATTAAAGTCATTTGGAGCAGCTAAAAACATGGGTCCCGAGCCACAAGCCTCTACAGACAGTATTTAACAAAAAAAAAACATTTCTGATTTTTCATTTATTTCAACACCTGTGAAGCATTGTCAGTGGAATTTCCTAACACCCAGTGTCCCAATATATCCCAATTGTATATTACTACAAATTGAAAGAATCAAAAAAATAAAATATTGATCCTTCTCCTGGCTGTTAACATAATGAAACACTAGTTGAGGCATTGAGAAATTGGTTTATGATGTTTAAAAACAGTGTAATATAATCAAAATCAAAAAGTGGAGAGATAGTTTTTTGGGTTGTAATATTGTGAATGAAATTAAAGAAAACAGGAAAACTGATGTAGTTCATAAGTTTTTGTAAATTGAAAATAATTCTCACTTGAATAGTATGATCTTCATACAATCCTTCTATTCTGATGGTACCTCCTAGTAGAGCTTGAGCTACAGAAATATCAGCTTCTGTGTGTACATCTGCTCCATCTCTAGTGAAATAATCAGACTTGTCTATCCTAAATGTGACAAAAAGCTCTTTCTTTCCCACAGACATCCTCACAGTTTGGCCATCCTCAATTCCTATGAACAGGAGTCTTATCAAATTCATGAAATTGGGAAGTATGTAAACTACTGCTAACAAAAAAATTATAATTTCAAAGTATTTGAGTGAAGAAATAATCAGTTAGTAAAAGTTGGAATGATGTCCAAGATATCAATTGAATATATTTATTTATTCATCACACTGGAATTATTACCCATTTGCAATTAGAGTTGAAAATATATAAGAACATTATACATTATGGAAGCTCTCACATCTTTATAAGGATCCATAAGAAACATGGAGAGCTTTATTGAACCAATAAGAAATTTTTACATTTTCATGTAGGTCCTTCCTTTAAATACTACATTACTTTTCTTTTTTTTAGTACATTTGTCATTGTTGAACTAATTGAATTATATAAAGCCAGTCGGCATTGTCATATACTTCAAACAAACAAGAAAAATAATGAACACAAGCTAAAACTACAGTATCTCTGGTATTGGAGAACACATTCTGTATATGCGTGTTTATGTATTTATTCATTTTGGTCTAGTTGAAGTTTCCCGAGAACGCTCGCACCACGGTCGTTTTGCCGCCAAGCATTAATTTTGCCCCTCCCACATTTATTTCAGCCGGGATTTTACGACCCGCTCACAAGTCTTCCTAAGTCGAACCGGCGGGCCAGTTCACGTTTGGTTTCGGTCAGAGGGTGTTGTTTGGAGCTGAAAATTGACAATTGGTCGTTTCCACCGACGCGCGAGCATTTAGAGGTTTGTACCAAATTATTCATTGTCTACAAGGAAATTGGGGGTTATAATCATGTAAATGTGGCAAAATCAATTAGATAATAGTAGATAACTCTTTATAGATACTGAATACCTTCAATAAACAGCACAAATACTGACGAATTTTGGGATTTTCTATAGTCGGTCAAAACGACCAGCCGCGAGCATCAACGTAACTTTTCATTTTTGTTCAAAAATATACCAACTTTGTGTTCATCGTCGATAGAGTTTTCATAAGAAGTGTATCAATAGCTGAATACCTTTGATAAACACCACAAATACTGACAAATTTGGGGATTTCCTAGTCGGTCAAAACGACCAGCCGCGAGCATCAACGTAACTTTCTAGGAGCGAGTGTTCTCGGGTTGGAAATTTTTGAGCTTTTTCTTGAATATCATTCATTATTGGAGAACATCTTATATGTGAAGGGAGCTCATTATACAAAGTGACACCCTTGACAAATATTGAGTTTTGACCAGAGGTTGTAGATTGATTCCAAATCACTGTTATGTCTTGTATTATGGTGATGAATATCATTTCTCCTGATAAAAGTTAAGTTAGACAGCCTCTTAGAGTTAATGATTTGGTGTATATAGAGACATACTTGGTATTTGTAAATAGCATTTATGGGCATTATGTTATAATTTTTATATAGATCATTTGTGTGATATCTTCTATGCAATCCATAAATATTTTTTATTGCTCTATTTTGTGAGATCTCAATTGGCTTTATCACTTTTTGAAGGAAGGGTACCACAGCAGAGTAAGATATTGTATGTGACAATGTATCAATGAATAGTAAATTCCTCTCAAAAGATGTTTTGGTATGCAATTATTCAACTTCCATAATATACCTATTGGAGCTGCAATCTTAGATCTCAGCCTATCTAAATGGGTTTTCCAAGACAAAGTTTCATCAATGTAAAGACCAAGATACTTAATAACTCCCAGAGTATTGCAAGGTTGTATTCCCATATTGTATGTTCACTTGGACATGGGGGGTTATCTAGAGATTATTACATATCCAGATTTATTTACATTTAGTGTTAATTTGTGAGTAACCAACCAGGTAGACATTTTTTGCATGTCTTCCACAATATTGAGTTTTAGTTCATCATAAGAGTTGCTAAAGTATAGTATCATGGTATCATCTGCATATAATCTTGTTTTCCCTTTCAGTTTTAATTTTGATATTGAGTTGACATAAACAAGAAATAAGGTTGGTCCTAAAATAGACCCTTGGGGCACACCACATTTGATTTCTCTTTCTGTGCTTGAAAATTTTCCCATTGAGACAAACTGCTTTCTGTCTGCTAAATAATTTTTGAACCATACATGACAACGCCCAAAGAATATAGCTTATCCAGCAGGATTTTAAGGTTTACAGTGTGGAACATTGTTCATAATAAGCTGATAAAGCAATGACTTTTATAAAAAACAAATCAGAAACAGAATTATATGATTAGTATTTTTTCAGAATATCCTTGGAGTATTCAAATTTATGAACAGTGATATTTTGATATAGAAAAGTAATTAATAATCTACATTCTCACCTGCAGGAACAGGTACAGTCACTTTCCTCCTTTGAACAGTTGATCCCTTTCCCTCACATTCCACACACTTATGCTTAATATACATTCTTGTCCCTTGACAATATCTGCAAATCAAAATGGGTCAGCAGAAAATAAATAAATAACAAGAAATTCCAAAAGTTCTTACCTACAAGTAGATCTCATCACAAATGGCCCTGTTGTGATGCTTTCCATACCAGTACCATTGCAAAATTGGCACTTGGTAGCTTTGGTGCCAAGCTCACATCTAGAACCATTGCATTTTGGGCAGGTATCCACCACATTTATGTTGACATCCTTGTTAGTACCTCTGGCTGCTTGACTGAATGATATCCTCAAAACAATCTTGAAAAATATAAGAAATACTAAGATTCAAATATAGATATAAATGAGTTTGATACTTGATACATCATAGAAGTTGATAATTTTGTTAAGAAAATGGTTCTATTTCACCTTGATAGTGTTTTATCTACATACTTCTTGGGCTTCCCCAAATCCATATCTGGACTCAGCAAAATCCTCAAAAGGGGAAGACCCCTTGTTTCCAAAGGCTGCATCACCAAATATTTTCCTGAATAATTCCTCTGGATCTATTGTAGATTGATACTGCCAATGCTGACTGAATCCTTGTGGACCTTGTGCTCTACCAGACCCTCCCATTCCACCCATCTGATCAGCTGTGGCTCCATATGTATCATATTGCTTACGTTTTGTATCATCAGCTAAAATCTACTTAAAAAATAGCCATTTAAGCTACTTGTGAACCTATTGGCTCTTTTTCTAACCTCATATGCTTCTGATACTGCTTGAAATTTCTTTTGAGCTTCAGGGTCCTTGTTCACATCAGGATGATACTGCTTAGCAAGTTTGTAGTAGGCTTTTTTTATTTCTGCTCCGGAAGCATTGCGACCAACTCCTAGTACCTCATAGTAGTTTCTTGTTGCCCTAAGTGGCTGACTAGAATGGAATTGCCGGATTGGAATGCTGACTCCTGAAAGTTTTTCGAAGTAATACTGTTGATGATGATATAGATGTAAATATGAGCAATCAAGATATTGAAACCAGTTTATCGAAAAGAAAAGATTTCGGCAAAATCATATCTTTACCTGCATGGATAATATTCGATAGTTGTTGGTTCTTATGGGAAACTGTTGATTTTGTACATTCTTTGCCATAATGAAAAAGTCTTGTGGAGATTTTATTTATTTGAGGTGTCACTAAAATGATTATTGGTTTAGTATTCAAGATTCCAAAAATATTTCTAACACTAGCCATTTTAATTTTTAAAATGACGAAAGTCGAATTTCGAAAGTAAAAGGAGCTTGGAACATGACAGTTTGTCATGTATTGTATAACTGTCTGACAGTCCATTTAGCCGTCATTGGTATAACAATCACCGCTGACAAGTGACACTAGACCTAGATCAGTACCGAACTCTCATCGTCCAATCCACCAACTGGAAAACGAAAACGTGAAGATTGGCCGGATGGCCATGAAAGCTAAGAGCTAAAGCCTTTCGTTCTTTCGTATTCAAGAGAAGAACATCAAAGTGAGGTTATGAAATTAATTTCGTTTTCTTGTTGCATTTTTCTTGATTTGACGTGTCCGTCCGTCGATAAAATTGTATTTATTGAAAAAAGTTGGTAAATAATGCATTCTCTTCTTCAACGAGGAAATTCTATCCTAGCGTATGCTTTGAGCGTGCTTGCTTGCTTAACATTTATATGTTTCGCTTCCACAGTTTTCCTGAACTATGTAACTGACGCAAAAATGAATACTGTAAAAGTAGTTGTGTAAGTATACCAAACCATACTTCTTTAGTACCGTGGCCCCAGCCGATTATGTATATGATGTCCTCATTTATTTCACATACAGAAAGAATGTGCCAGACTACAGTGCCAGCAGAGAAAAGAATGACTTGGGATTTCTGACATTCGATTTACAGACTGATCTCACTAGTCTGTTCAACTGGAATGTCAAGCAATTGTTCTTGTACCTCACTGCAGAATATGAGACTCCAAGCAATGAACTGAATCAGGTAATAAGCTTTATATAGATATTTGATTGATATAATCAACAACCTCATGTTCTAAAATGATTTTGCTAAATAATAGAATGTCTAAACAGGTTTCTACTGTACAGGAACATATAAGATATAATGAATGACCTTATGAAACTAATATTTGAATCTGAATGGTCTGTTGTAGGTTGTTCTCTGGGATAAGATTATTCTAAGAGGAGAGAATGCTATCCTAGATTTCAAGAACATGAACACCAAATATTACTTTTGGGATGATGGAAATGGCTTAAAGTAAGTTTTTGTTTGTAAGAATGATGAAAAATAGTTGATCTTGATTTTTCTATTTTTCAGGGGGAATAAAAATATCACTTTGACACTCTCTTGGAATATGATTCCCAATGCAGGTCTTCTGCCCAATATTTTTGCTAGTGGGAGCCATTCTTTCAAATTTCCAGCAGAATATACTACAACTAGGATGTAATTTGAGAATGTGTTTTTGTCAATAAAATTATTTTCATTTTATCAATTCTTCTGGTTATATATTTCAACATCCAAAAAATTATATCACAAACCTAGTCTAGCATTGTATCATGTTGATATCTCATCAATTTACTGAAAAAAATATTATTTTGAGAACATATAAAAATTTTATTTCAGATAATGGAACATTTTAAATTGATAGTGTTAGAAATAATAAATCATATGACAACCTTATGAAAAGTAAAATTCTAGATGATCACAAAGTAATAATACAGTTTTCACTAAATAAGTACTACAAATAAATAAATTTAATGAATGGAATAATATTCATATTAGAGAATGACATGAGGTTACTTTCATGCTAACTTAAATTTAACAGTGCAACAATCAAAATAATAAATTAAGTAATAAAAAACAAATCAAACATGTACAATTAAAAGTATTTTACAGCAGGTAGAGATTCAAGAGGGGATCATTAACCTTATGATGTTATTTCAGTGTCAGTCTGTACTGTCTTATCTTCTTTCTTTATGTTTCCACAGGTCCTTGCAATATCAAGCATTTCCCTCAAACCCTATATAAAGAAAAACTTAGAACTATAAATCATAGACAATCATGATTTTACCTGATTCTCAGCTTTCAACATAGAAACAGCTTCTTGGTCCCTAAAATCTTTGTCTTCATCTATGAGAGCAGCTTTGCCCATGACAGCAGCCATTTCCTGAATCTTTTCAGCTTGTTCTTCCATTACCTTACAATACTTCTTATTCTCAAAGGCAGTAAAACTGATACTAGATTTATAAATTTGTTCTGTTGTGTGCTCTCTATATTTTGACATCACATGCTCCAATGTTATGTGGTAATCTTCCAGTGCTGCACGCAGTTCACGATTTTCTTGTTGAATTTCTCTGAGATGACGATTTTCTTTTTGGATATTGGCTATCAATTGGGAATGAGGTTTCTGATTGGCCACCTCATTCAGTTGTTCCACTTCTTCCTGAAACTAAGGCAAATATTGAATGGACTAAAGGCATAACATGTTTCTATTCTTACCTGTTTCATTCCATCAATTTTTTTGTTGATTGCAAGAGTCTCATTCAGCAAAACATCAGCAATCACATCCCTATCTTTCAAACGACTGGCCAGCCGTTTTGCATCGGTAATTATTTGTTGGATGGTGAGAGACATATTCGAATTTAGATACTTAGGTATAATCTAGGAGCCTAGAGCACTTTAAAAACACAAATATTTACTATTTACACCTTACACCAGGCACAGTTCCTTGACAGAATATTGCAATGTGGTCATTAGTAGTAATAATTTATTCCAACAATGCAAGACGCAGGAGTCGCAGGACGCATTTTAACAAGTCAATTTCGTGGCCAATAACATTAACTTCAATTCTTCATATTATCAATATGAACAATTAATCAAATACAAAATTTTTATTCTTTATTTTGTTCACCTTCACATTTCAACAATTTGACATTTGTCAACTCGCACTGTCACATGCCGACATTTCCGAAGCATGGAACTGAAAAATGGTGATGACGTATGACTTCTATGCTTGTCTCTGTCACTACATTCACTTGCTACCACAGAATTTGAACTTATTACACTTTTCAGTTCAGTGGAACTATAGCCCATAGCCGTGCTCCAAAATTGAATCATAATAATGAATCATTATAAGGGTACCATCCTTGTACCATCAGTCGCTGGTACTGGTACCACTCAAGATTCACTCATCTATTGATATGGCTCGTACATTATGAAAGAAATGAAATGCTTCAAAAGTCCTTTTTTCGCATTTTTATTTTCGATATCTTTTTGATTCGCTCTTAAAATTTGCTCACAATGTTTTCCTCAAAGAGAAAGCCAACAAAGTAGATATAATACTAACAAAGACACAAAAATATTCATCGCACACGAGGACACGAGTTAAAATCCCCATAAATAATATGAAAACGCACAAACGGTTTATTTATTCATGTTCTCGACAAAAAGGTTTATTTATTCATGGCTCTCTTGTCCACAAACAGAATAGTCAGAATACTGCACTCGGCGACCCACCCAGTTTATTTGTTATGTCACGTTCACATCCTTTTCCCAAAGCTCGTCACTCGAAATTCTTCTCGATTGCAATATTCTTCACAGGTAGGTAATAAAAATCAGACAGTGGCGCAACAAAAAAGTACCTGTACCTATTGTAATTTGAAAAAATCAAATTGTTCATTTGTGGTTGAACCAACGAGCGCAGTCGATACCAATATATACCGGGAAACATCCATACAAAATTTCATTATAATGTTATTGCCGGTAGTTCCGGAATAATCCTGAAAAATGTGTAAAAAAATAATTTTTCCAACACCTTGTATCTTGAAAACGGATGGCGTTACGACATTTTTTTACTGAGCAATTTCAACTTATTTTGCAATGTTCTACCTACCCTAGCAAGGGGGTTAGGTTTTTTTGAAACACCCTCTGTATTTATGCACGCATTTTCTGGAAAACCGGTGACCCTTTCAATGTTCTAAAGGAGAATGAGAAAGTGTGATGCACAAAAATTAGTCATTAGAACTACCCCTCGACATACCACACCCCTTAGTCAGAGATAAGTGACCCACAGTTCTGTGGGTATAACTTATATCTCTGCCTTAGTACAGACCACTAACTCTTTTTCAAATTACACCCCCCTTTTATTGTGTATTTCTGAGTAGCTTATAATATACAGGGTGATTCATAACTAACCAGCCATATATAGCCTAATGGTAGACAGAGGAAGTCAAGGTGAGTTGATATATATGTGAAAAAATATATTTTGCCTATTCGTAACAGAAATACAGGCCATTTTTTTTTTCGATCGTTATGCGTCATTTGAGTTTTAAAACAGAAAAAAATACAGGCTATGGGTATTGGGTGATATTTCCATTCAGCCGCTTCTGATTCCTCTGCCATTATGCCATCATCGACAAAAATGGCTTTTGGCACAAGACACAACTACACTAAGTCCTCCAAGAATTTGTGTCTGAAATCTTATTCACTCCACTTTGAGATATTATAGACTTCTACCATACATTAAAAATTATATGTTTTTACATTGAAATGATGGATTTTGAAATTGAAATGTGACTTTTTGAAACTAAAATGAATATTTATAAATACAATTGACGCATTTTGAAATTGAATTGATAATTTCGAATTACATTCGATACTCTCTCTGAGATTAAAATGTCTAATTTGATATACTTTTGAAATCAACTTGACGCTTTTTGAATTAAAATTGGAAAAGTTGTATAGTACATCGTCTGCTTCCGCCTTAATATATGATAATTATTGTGGGAGAAATTCCTCATATGATATGCTATATCAAGTTTAAGTTGTTGATTTGACATCATCTAGGGCGTATTAATGGAGGGTGTGACATACATTATTGTGTTCGTAAGCTCTAAAATAAGCTTCACAAATAACAGAAGTACCAAAATAATAGGAGGGTGTAATTTGAAAAAAAAAGATAGTGGTAAATGTGCTAAGGGGTGGTTTGTCGAGACTACTGAGACTATAGTTTCATGGATTATTTTTATTCGAGTGTTCAACAAGGTAATCGTTCCAACTATATATTTCAGGTTTTATGCATCTTCCAAAATTTAACACTGTCAAAAATGTGAGATTTCTTGATTTATCACCAAATTAAGTTCATCGAAATGGTTTGGTGTACCATATATGATGCTGTTACACCCGGTATTTCAACTTTTGTCAGCTTCCTCATGAATCAATCTACCGTATGAAGAATTAATAAGGTAGGTAACTAATTAACAAAGGACCCCGCACGAAAACACGGGAAATTGGCTCTCGGTCGAATTGGCTGAAATTTGACTATGTTGTTGTGGGATGGCTCATTAAAAAAATATGTGAGTTTAAAAAGTTTTGTATGTGTAGTTTCTGAGATATAAGCCTACAAAGTTCGTAAAAACGTCGTATCGGGGAGGATTGACGAAAAAAAAAAACGTTTTTTTAGTATAAATAAGACAAAATAAGCTAGAAAATGTATTGATCGGAACTCAAATACATGTCTAGCTATGATCACATGAATTATAGTAAATCGGTGTATACGAGACACGGTCAAAAAATTTATTCCAAAACTATTCCAAAACCAACAAGTTATATTTTGGTTAGACATTATAGTTTTAGTCTATTGTAGGCTTCGAAAACGTATTTTGATTCTTGATAACTATCTCTGTTCGAAATATGAATTCTTTGAATTTGGTGTTATACCCCTTTTTGCATGAAAACAATTGAAAGCTTGTTTTTGATCACAAAGAAAGGGATTGATTGATACTGTTGATTGAATGAAAGCTGAGGAAACTCACGAGCGAATTCAGTTGTTCAATATTGCCTTCCGTTTAGATACAGGGTGTGTTAGATTTTGTTGAAGATTATTTAACATGTTTCAATTGAATATCTCGAAAACAGTTCCGTTAATTTGGATTTCATTTCACACACACTATTTTGAATATGTTGACTATCATATGCAAAAAGTTTTTCAATTTTTTATGTTTAGTTTCTGAGATATGCATTTTTGAGTCTACAGTATTACATCAGGTATATTATAGTGTTATTACCTCGGATATTACTATCAAAAATTGATATCTCAGAAACGAAACATGAAAAATTGAGAAACTTTTTGCATATGATAGTCAACATTCAAAATAGTGTGTGTGAAATGTGATCCAAATTAACGGAACTGTTTTCGAGATATTCAATTGAAGCATGTTAAATAATCTTCAACAAAATCTAACAGACTCTCTGTATCTAAACGATAAAGGCAATATTGAACAACTGAATTCGCTAGTGAGTCACATCAGCTTTCATTCAATCAACAGTATCAATCAATCCCTTTCTTTGTGATCAAAAACAAGCTTTCAATTGTTTTCAAAAAGAGGTATAACACAAAATTCAAAGAATTCATATTTCGAACAGAGATAGTTATCAAGAATCAAAATACGTTTTCGAAGCCTACAATGGACTAAAACTATAATGTCTCACCAAAATATAACTTGTTGGTTTTGGAATAGTGCTCGAATTTTTTTTTCCGAAAAATGAATTTTTTGACCGTGTCTCGTATTCACCCTGATTTACTATAATTTATGTGATCATAACTAGACATATATTTGAGTTCCGATCAATTCATTTTCTAGCTTATTTTGTCTTATTTATACTAAAAAAACAGTTTTTTTCTTCGTCAATCCTTCCCCGATACGACGTTTTTACGAACTTTGTAGGCTTATATCTCAGAAACTAAACATACAAAACTTTTCAAACTCACATATTTTCTAATGAGCCATCCCACAATAACATAGTTAAATTTCAGCCAATTCGGCCGAGAGCCAATTTACCGTGTTTTCGTGCGGGGTCCTATCTGAGTGGACAGAACCGTACAGAACGCGGTTTCATTATGTATTATGTATTACACATAACTGTGTTGGAATTGGAATCTATGGTATTGTCTCAATTGTCTGTCAGTCAGTCCTTTCTGCAACTCGTATGAACAGAATTTCTTCGTCCAGCCAGACTAGCCAGAGATAAGTTAGTCCAGCAGTTCATTGGTTCAGTCCACGCCAATGGTCAGCGCGATCACCACCGACCTCTGCCGAACGTGTCACGAAGCGAATTTGAGTGGGACGTTCAAAACACGAAAGCGTGGCGGAAGTACGGAACCAAACCAAAGTCAAAACAGTGTGGATTCGACCTTCTACAGAGTGATATACCGCCGAGGACCGCTATTTATAAATCCGCCGATATTTCCTATTCGCGAAATGTCTCGATCGATTTCTTGATGGAAATTGAAAAACAAACAGTGAATGAGTGAAGTTGGCCTGAATCCGTGTGCTGAAAGTAGAGCGATGATGAAGAGTCGAGGTCAAGTTCTCTAATTTCACGGGGATACCGCGATAGTATTCTCATAGGTGAGTTGAATTGATTGGCGATCGATTGATCGCGGCCAAATTCCAATTTCCATAACAATGATGAAACAATCATTTAAATATAAAATCGATTAGGTAGGGACAATTTTGGAAGTGCTCCTAAAATTATCTTATACCTTTACTGAATATATAATAATATAATGGTTTCAATATATTATGTAAATTTCGCGCTACTTGTTGAATATAAATATTTCCTCAATTTGCTTAAAAGGGTAACGTGACCAAAATATTAAAAAAAAGAACTCCAAACAAATACACACATTACAATTGATGTCAAAAAGAAGATTTGGAACGTTTTTCACGGTTTTTCAGGTCTATTTAAAATATAATCGTTGAAATATTCAAATTTTATAGCTACTTTTTCTTCGAAAGATTATAAATTCAAATATTCAACAAACATATTTATTTATAAGACTATTTATATCTTCAGCCCATTTGTATGAGTTGAATCATACATTAACATAATAGGTATGATGATTGCTGTTTTTCCACCGCAACTTTTTTGTAAATGTATGGATTTCGTTAAGTTGAATACCAAATTCACTGGAATTCAATTCAGTTTTAAAGTATGCTATACATCTTTTGAAAATCGTAGTTCTAGTTTAAAAATAAACAAAACGATTATTGTCTTAATATACCTGCTTGTCCTGCCCATCTTGTGGAAACTACTAATTTTGTAAAATTTTTGTATATCGCTAATTTGCTACTTCGAAATTGGGAAGCAACTACTAGAACCTGAAAGTCGAAACTCGTGCGAGGTTAGGAAGAGCGGGACCTACATTAGCTTATAGTGGATTCCCAACCACTTCTAGGGCGGCGATGAGGCGCTGCTATTATATACAGAGTGTTTCAAAATGCAGTATCAAGATTCCAGGAGCCTATATTTTTCAGGGTTTATTTATACAATTTTTTCTCTCATGTAATATAAAGAGAAAATTTAGAAACGCTCTGTTAATCGGTACCTAACGAAGCGTTTGCGGACACATGTTTATACTATAGTGTTTATAGGCAAAAAAGTCTTTTGAACTGAAAAATATGTCCCTGAAAATCTTGATACTGGATAACGTCGTATGAAACAACCCTGTATCCTGTATCTTACGTAACCGTTGGGTCCAAAAATGCACTATATGACCCAGTGAGGTCATCTTTAGTGATATACACTGCTCGCCAACAGCCATGGAACCACCTCAATATGATATTAGGAGTCAAAATAGGTTGAAAATCACTTCGGATTCGGAATCAGGAGGCCCAGTTCACTAACTATTCATAGTTTTCCTAGAAAATTCTCATTTCAGAAAAATTAAATTTTGTCTCACTTCTCTTGGAAGCACCCCCGTATCTCACGTAATTATTGAGGTAGGGTTCTGAAATTTGCAGGAGGAAGGGAAAGTCCAAAGACAAATTCAATTACGTAAGATACGGGGGTGCTTCCGTAAAAAGTGCGCCAAAATGTTATTCTTCAGAACTGAGAATTTTCCAGGAAAAATATGAATAGTTAGTGAATTGGGCGTCCTGATTCCGAATCTGAAGTGATTTATTTCGACCTATTTTGACTCAGGAATTGGGGTGGTTCCATGGCTGTTGGCGAGCAGTTTATATCACCGAAGATGACGCACTTGGTCATAGAGGGCATTTTTGGTATATCTCTCGCTCCAGCAAATTTCAGGATCCTTACCGAACGATTACGTAAGATACAGAGGGGTGTTTCCACGAGTGTTTCCATTAAAAGTGGGTCACACTGTATACTATTATTCAGATGGGTTGTCAACTCGGTTGTCAACAATAATGAAACACTTTTTAAACATATTATATCCGTCATATCATTATTTAAGTCCCGATTTAAGTGGTCCCTATTCTGAGAGTACTCACAAAAAGTTAGATTTTATAAGTGGGACGTTTTGATGCTTCAAGAGTAAATTGATAGCTTTTTAAAGTGGCCATTCAAAACATAAATACTCTCTGGAAAAATTATCGTACTATACTTGAGAAATTTTGTTTATTATTGAAGCGAGTAAATCTGTTTCGAATGAGATGGCTATCTCCATGTTGGTTCGAAACAGTTTCACTTTTATTGGTTTATTTAAACAACCATCTATATTTGTAACATAATGATATGTGCATAACATTGTACCCATCATGCACAAGTCACATTCAAATCATGTGTCATGTCCTCCTGATATTTATAAATATTTTTCTGCTAACAATCGAAATCATGCAAAATAAAATATGGTAATAAGCAATTCATGAGATTGAAATATGACACCACGATTGATACCTACTAAAATACTTCTACTCACATAACTAAAATGACATTTAGCGTACGGATATGTACCACGCTCTATGATCGATTAATCACTGATTGACGATCTGTGATTTATTCAAAATATTAAACACGTTACCATGGCAACACAATTTCTTAAAAACATTACCATGGCAACAGAGTTTTTTAAACACACCTTCAGTCGTTCGAGGCCTGTCCGGCCTGGCAATTGTGGGGAACTGTCAACTGTCATTTTCTAATTTTGATGCAATCAGAATTATTAAAACAATTTCCGACAATTTCTGTTTGTATCAGAATTCTTCATTAAAAATTTATGCGAAATGTAGACGAATGTGAAATCGAAGAGAATGTGTTAGGTATATAGGTACTTACTTGCATATTTCCAAGAACTTTAGGTAAAAATGAAGCTCTCATCTTTGTGGGCAATTCAATTTATGTTAAGCATGACAATAAACATAAAGCACAATATTCATGTCAGCAAAATTATGCAATCAGAATGTCTTTCTGGTCAAAAAATTAACCATTGAAAGATGAAACCATATACCGAATTTGAATGCGTTATATTCAATTTTTCTTGAGATATTGCGAAACAACTATTTCTATTTCTTGACTTTAACGCCCTGTATCTCGAGAACTGAACACTTGACCATATCTCAGTGATTATGAAATCACGAGAGGACTATCACCTGTCAAGCGTTGTCGGTCGAATTTCGCAACACCCTGTATATTATATTTCATTATTCGTAGTATTCGTAATCAGAATATCAGAAATAAAACATTATAGAAATCGAGGCGAATATAAAAATATTGTTTACTAGAAGAGAATATATAAAAATCACTCTGAAAATGAGTAAAGTTGTAAAAGTCGTTTCAGTAACAAAACGTTTCACAAAAGTTCAATGTAAATAAAGGGGTATATCTAATGATTCCACTACAAATATTTTGTTCTCAGATAAAAAATGGAATAATAATAATACAATGTTCTACTTCCGAAAAGAGGAGGAAATAGGTATAATATATTTGCTTTTCTAATAGATAGTGCGTCAGAGATATACCTTACATCTACGAAATATGTATATATAATACACAGTGTCCATGGTAAGGATGTCTATCATGGGGAAAAGTTGATGATGGTTTCTCCGAAACGAAACGTCGTACGGAAAATCTCTTAACGCTGTTTTGTAGAGCTTAAAAAGTGGCAATTAGAAAGTGTCATTCTTTTTCCTCTATCTCATTAAATAACGTCAGAAAAAAATAATACGGTCCCCATGATACCACATCCTTATCTTGGACACAGTGTATACCTACTCCAAAAACACACACAAAAGTAATAGCCGTTGTATTTCAACATGCCTGAGTAAACATAGTAAAAAGCTGATAAGAATTACTGAACATCGATATTATTATATTATTATACAGTGAACATCGCCGCCAAAATAATGGTTCATTAACACAAAAACGTAGAAGAAAATTTTCAGTCGATTTTACGTGAGAATGTGTGCCTATAATAGTATAAAGGGTGTAATATAATTGATGGCTGAAACTATATGATATGGTTCCTTAGCTCATTTTGAGAAGAAAAGTTCATAACTTTCGAACTATAGGGTGTTGACATTTTATTTTCTCTTTCTTGATCAATAGTAATTTACGTTTTCATTATTCTCTAATAGCACAATTAAAAGAAGAAATTCAGCATGTCCTAAATAGAAGCTGTCGATACGCCTTTGGGTGTGATAATTACTTCATTAAAGAAGCAAAATACAAAAATGTTATTATTCACACATGGCTGCACCTATCAAATTTCATGATTGACGTCACATGATCTGTATAAGTATTAAAGTTTGACATAAGTAAATCTCCTGTTGAAAAATTGAAAATGGCTCGTTATAGGTCAACTTCTATTACGAAAATCAGTGATTACTTATATACCTATAAAAGCAAATCAATACCAGACAACACCAAGAAGAGTAAAGAGTCTGGAAACAATTATTCGTCTTTTTGCCAGTATAGAAAAACAATGAATTTTGTGCGACAATCCCAACTCTCGTGATCGTCGAAAAACTTTAATAAAATGTTGATACCAATATAAAAACGAGTAGGTAATGTAGGTATATTATATGCTGTTCATGAAATAATCTCCCTAAATATCATTCGACCATGACAAATATACTCTCGCGAGTACTCTCGAGTGTAAAAAAATGGATGACCCACTTCTAATGGAACACCCCTGTATCTATTTTCTGGAACGAGAGATATACCAAGAATGCAATCTATGACAAAGTGGGGTCATCTTCAGTGATATACACTGCTCGCCAACAGCCATGGAACCACCCCAATTTCCGGAAAATGATATTTAGGAGTCAAAATAGGTTGAAAATCACTTTGGATTCGGAATCAGGACGCCCAATTCACTAACTACTCATAGTTTTCCTAGAAAATGTTCAGTTCAGAAAAATTAAATTTTGTCTCACTTCTCATGGAAGCACCCCTGTATCTCACGTAATTATTGAGGTAGGGTTCTGAAATTTGCAGGAGGAAGGGAAAGTCCAAAGATAAAGTCAATTATTACTTAAGATACTGGGGTGCTTTCGTAAAAAGTGAGACAAAATTTAATTTTTCAGAACTGAAAATTTTCCAGGAAAAATATGAATAGTCAGAGGAATGGGCGTCCTGATTCCGAATTTGAAGTGATTTTCGACCTATTTTGACTCCTAAAATCATTTTCCGGAAATTGGGGTGGTTCCATGGCTGTTGGCGAGCTTTGTATATCACTGAAGATAATCTCACTTGGTCATAGAGTGCATTTTTGGTATATCTCTCGCTCCAGCAACGATTACGATACAGGGGTGTTTCCATTAGAAGTGGGTCACACTGTATATACAAAGAAAAACCTTGAGAATTCGCATTCTCTATGAAAATATCAACTCTTTCTTTTCTCGGTTTATTCAACAGACAACAACTACTCTCCTGGCTATATGCCACGACAAAAATTGAATTACATCTATTGAACACACACGATAAGAATTTGAAAACAAAATCTTCTGAAATTGAAAATTTGCATTCTCCTTCTGATAAAAATATGTATAAGGACATAATATCATCCTGAATATTCAACAGAAAACAACTACTTTCCTGGCTATTTGCCACGTCAAATATATATCTGTTGAACATCCAAAAAGATAGCATGAAAAATGAAAATCCTCTCTGGAATTGAGAATCGACATTCTCTTTCAAATCGGATAAATAATATGATGGAAAATTATTATTTTTATAGACCATTGATCGCAGATGCGTGATTAGGTTTTCTCAATTCAGAATTGCTTTCCACGTCCTGTATGATGAATAACAATTTGTCATACATTCAAAAACAAATACTCTCGAGTCTCGATAGAACTATGAAGAAACTAATTGCGAATTCATCAGGGGCTGCAATTTCAGAATCGTTCTGTAATTTCTATATTACCTATGTAAAAGTTGAGTAAGTTAAAAGGAGAAGATTAAAACTCTCCTGAAGATGCTAACATAGTTAGCGAAACACGTGTCGAGGCGTTTAAAAAATCGGTTTGGTTAGTGGTAAAACATCAGTGTGGTGTGGAACTTCTCCTTTAGTTATCGAATCTCTATAATTATTACCTTATGATACATGCTTAGCAAAATACTGAAATAAACATTACCTACCGATATCTACGCTTCGAATAGTTATTAATATTTGTTCGGCAAAATGACGTAAACATGTTGTTTTACGATCGATCTTGAATCCATTATATTGTTTACTGCCACCCACCGATACCGAGACCGATGCCTATTTAGCGAAGAATTCATTTCGAAGCCTGATGTAACGGAAAATTTTCTTGATATTAGTTGAAATGTCAACCTATGGATGAGGCAGCAGAGCAGTGTAATTTCTGATAGGGGAGTCCCTAAGAGGAAATGTCAACAGATTGATATTTAAAGCGCTCATCATTATTATATCGTTTTAATAAATAAGTACCATATACAGGGTGTTCCATTACAAAGTGCGGAAATATCTCAGCTACAAAATCCTGAGCTCAGAATATGAATATTTAACCCTATATAATCACCTAGATAAAATGTGTCTCCTGTCTGAGGTACAGGGTGTTTTATTTGAAAACTCAAAAATTATTTGTGCCTAGTACTCTGAAACTATCATCAGGGGATCGCTGGCAATGAGAAGGCTGACGAACTTGCAAGAAGAGGGTCGGACAACGAGCCAGATCCAGGACAGACTCTTGGAGTACCAAAACGTACAGCACGAGTGTCAGTTAAAGACTGGATTCAGGCAAAACATAAGAGCTACTGGGAAAACATCCCAAGAAACAGACATGGGAAACAATACATTAAGGAACCAAGTCATAAACGAACTGTAGACCTGCTCAACTTGAACAGAGCACAGATAAAAACTGTTACGGGACTCATGACTGGCCATGCGCCAGTAAAGGAGCATCTCGCCAGAATGGGACTGTACAATGGCGACCCAAGCTGCAGACTATGTGACAAGGAACCAGAAACAGTAGCACATATACTGTGCCGATGTGAGGCATTGGACCGCAGAAGACAGAAGATCTTTGGGCAACCAGTTGGCGAACCAGAAATATTCAACTCACATCCAGTGAAGGATTTGTACAGACTTGTTCAAGGTACAGAGATAATGGAGTGGGCACAATAAAGAACATTAGGTAAGATACAATGGGCCACCATAGGCCTAAGTGTCGTCGGAGGCATGGTCAGACGAGCATACAAACGAGGTGGAGTTTTTAGTGGGTAAATCCTGGCTAGAGTCAGGGGAGTCCCACACTACCATATGGGGGATAGGACCCATATGGTGTCCATAAAGGATTTAAACCACCTCGACAAAAAAAAAACTCTGAAACTAACTGACGTATCATTGCCATATTTGACGTGGAGTGTAGATAATATACACCCTACTAATGGGCGATCGAGTGGACTCTGATAATGAGAATTATTGGCATTCAATTAAGTTTTGTAACACTCCTCACGCTCTTTTTATGTAAATAATGAATCTGCGTCGTTCAAAATTGTTGAATTTCAGAGCAGTTTTTATTCTGTTTCGTTATTGGCAGATAATCTTATGTACTTTTAGTTTAAAAAAAAAAAAAAGTTCACATGGAAATTTCACGGGCCTCATTATCAACTTCAACTCCATTGTTTGTTGAAAAATTATCGAACGCAAAGTTGAGCAGTTTATTTTGACCTCTGCGAGATGCATTAGTTGTTGATGGTCATTTTCTGTGCCTGTTTCTGCCGTTTCCGCTTTTCTTTGTCGGTCAAAGACAGAGAGTGGTCACTTTGTGTTCTTTGTCAGTTCTTGAAAACAGTTATGTGACACTTTATTGTTTTCGTTCTGGTACATGAACGCGATGATTTCGGCAATGTTGTAGTAACTTTAAAACTTAAGCTGCCAAAATACAGGGTGTTCCGTTGGGAAACGGAAATACTTCAACCAGAGATTATACACACCATAATCTCTGCTTCAACGGTGGATAGAGGTGACCAAGGTGGTTCTGAATATACCATATATGTTGGGTCTTACATGTTTAATCATCGAGATATAGGGTGTTTTATCAATTCTGGTCATTTCTTTGAAGGTTCATAGGATACGAACCACCTGGTATATTTTTTTGATATTTGGTAGACGTATTTTCCCACTGCTACCCCATCGACATGTGTATCCGTCAGAAAAAAATTCCAGGCCCGGATTAACAAAAATTCAACATATTATTGGGTCCTCGAAAAAACACCCTGTATGTTTGAATTTACAAAATCTGCTTACATATCTGAAGAGAGCACAAAATGTTGAATGGATTTGTGTACTTTTTATGTTTCCGCATGCTATTTTACTACTGAATTTAGGAAGCTGCAATGAAGGATTCGTGAATTTCAATAGCTAAAAACGGAATATTTTCAGTTTTTTATATCGAATTATGAGAATTTTGCAATTTTACAACTCATTTTATTCCATTTAATAGTCATTGTCTGTATTTCTGTGCCTGTGGAACGGAATACCTATTTATTTATTTGAGACATATTTCCATATGGATTCACATATTTCGATATTTCTATTGTTCTGACGTTATAATTTCACTTACCTACAAGAAACTGATGGACCTTATTGACTTGTAATAGGTATTAGGAGAAATACAATATGGCATAATTGATTTATACCTCGAATAAAAATGTTCTGCAGCGAATTTTGTTTGAATCAGTTTGATTTCGAAATTTGAAATTTTTCAACTGATTGGATTTCGAGTTGGATTTGTTGCAATTGTTTCCAGGAATAGGTAAGTGGAATTATCACATCAAAACAATAAAAATATTGAAATATGTGGATCCACATACAGGGTGCATGGAAATATGTCTCAAATAAATAAATAGGTATATGACTAAAGTAAGAACCTGTGATTATACACTGGCATAAAAATGCAGACAACGACTATTGAATGGAATGAAATGAGTTGAAAAATTGCAAAATTTTCATAATTCGATATGAAAAACTGGAAATATTCCGTTTTTAGATATTGAAATTCACGAATCCTGCATTGCAGCTTCAGAAATTCAGTAGTCAAATAGCATGCGGAAACATATAATGTACCCAAATCCATTCAACATTGTGTGCTCTCTTCAGATATGTAAGCAGATTTTGTAAATTCAAACATACAGGGTGTTTTTTCGAGGACCCAGTAATATGTTGAATTTTTGTTAATCCGGACCTGGAATTTTTTTCTCACGGATATACATGTCGATGGGGTAGCAGTGGGAAAACACGTCTACCAAATATCAAGCAAATATACCAGGTGGTTCGTATGCTATGAGCCTTCAAAGAAATGACGAGAATTGATAAAACACCCTATATCTCGATAATTAAACATGTAAGACCATGTGTAAGACCCAACATATATGGTATATTCAGAACCACCTTGGTCACCTCTATCCACCGTTAAAGTATCTCCGTTTCCCAACGGAACACCCTGTATGGGGCAATTAAAAATAGTTATTTATTTTCTTCTTCTGATATTTATTTCAGCCAATGTGCATAAGCAGTGGCAGACATCATAATCACTACGTTTCACAACTGAAAGTACACTCTTCCAAAAATCAATTATTTACAAAAAAAGAATATCAACAAAATGCTCCAAGAATATCATATGGAAATTTTTATGAAAATTTATAGTGTGTATATCTATAGTAGTGAACATGAATTGATTTTTAGCCAAAAACTATTCATTTCTGAGGAATCTCGTGGAACAGCTAGATTGATTTTCGATATCAATTTGACACATTTTAAAGGGAAAATTGAATATACCTACATATACCGGGTGTAACAAGATTATGGTACACCAAACCATTCAGATGAATTTTATTTCTTGATAAATCAAGAAATTTAATTGACATTTTCGACAGGATTACATTTTTTTTAGCATTACACCTGTCGATATGAGTACATCAGACTCGATCAAAATAGTCATGGCATACTCAGATAGAAGATGACGTTCGAAATTTCACTTATGTGGTAGGTATCATTGGATTCAGAAAATGATGCAGAATTCGAAAATGCATTGATGTACAGGTTGTTCCATTTTAAAATCAAAAGTTATTACCACTTCCGGTGAAACTGGAAGTGGAAAATGAAACCTATGTATGTCAAAGAAGAAGTTTATCAAGTTGTATTTGCACATATTTTTGTCTGTTTTCAAATAAAATGCCGCCAGGAAGTTTTTAAATAATTTGTACACATGCACAGCTATAAATCTAACAATAGATATAGGTACCTATTTCGTGAATTGGATCATGTCTTCAATCAAATAAAAATATATATAGGTGCGAGCCACTGGACATTTTTACTTAGAGTCAACACTAATTCCATCTAGAAGAATAAACAAAATTGTCTCGTGGTTTTAATTGAATTACGGATCATCCTGCGTAGTAATGAAAAATATTTGTATTGCTGTTGAAAGGGGTTTGCTTAAATTTTTGCGTCAGTCATCAACACTGATTATTTTTAGATACCAACTTAATGTTTATTGTTCATAAATTTATACATGTTATACGTAAAAGGAGGTCAAAAAAGTTTATCAAGTTATTCAAGTTTATCTGATGTGCTACAATACTCCCATGTCATTAATTCTTAATCATTAATATGTTATCTCATAGAATTAACATATTATTTTTCATTACAGATTTCAGGAGGAAGAAAGTGAAAAAATAATGTCTGTTAGTGGTTACACCTGTATACGATTGGCATTCTGCTGGGTCAACGTACTTTTTTGGGTAAGTACCTACACCTACCGAGTGAAATTTAACTTTAGAAATCATCAATGTAATCCATAAGCAAAGAAAAATTTGCAGTAAAGTGGAACCTCCAGTATAATAAGGTTAATATGAAAAGTATAACATTAACTTCTTGGCGGACTACTTAATGATCACTATGGTTTGTAAACATTACTGTTCTATCAGTGGCGGCTCCTCAGAGGAGGCAACGGAGGCTGAGCCTCCTCAGAGATTCTCCTTAAACTGATATTATCTATACTTTCTCATTAGAAGGACACCAAAATACATGGATTTTGATTTTATTTCCTGTTTTTAGGTAAATATTTTTAAATGGGCAACAGTGCTTGCCCACGCATCACACGTTGAAGTCTGCAAATCACGCGTAAAATATTCAACTTGGCAACATCTATAGGAGGCTAGACTCCTTCACAAATCGCAACCCACGCGCGCAATGCAAATGCCCGAATAGCACGTGTTTGTGTTTGTCGTGTCGCGAATTTCGGTATGTTAGGTTAATGGTTAGGAGCTCTATAAATTTCTGAAAAATGAGTGTTTTGAACGATTGCGATTTAGTGGAATACTTTTTGGTGAACCCATTCAGTGCTTTGTCTTATGAAGATAAATTGATTGTGAAAAACAAACGTCCGACACCGTAATTAAAAAATCTGATTGTAACAGGTAACAAACAAAATCGTTCGTTCAATTCTGATAATTATGAAAAATATATCTGGTTGACGGAATCTGAGGTAAGGAATAAGCTATTTTGTTGGTACTGCGTATTATTTTCAACCGATAAGTCATCATGTTGGGGGCGATTAGGATATAATGATTTGAAAAATTTGCCTCGCGGATTGGATAGACACTGCAAATCACAGGAACACATGGTAAACAGAATGTCATTAAAGCTATTGATTTGGTAGAGAGTTGTTTTTCACAATAAATCTCATATCATCCAGCCTCCTCTGTCATGAAAGTCACGAGCCGCCACTGTGTTCTATAGAGGTGTAGTATTATAATTATTTATTAGGTTATTGCACAAATGAAAGAGAAAACAATACTTTTCACAATCAAAGTAATTGCAAATTGAATTTCCTGGTATTGTTAGGTTGTTTTTGTAAAATCTCCGGTTTTTTGTTATTATATAAAATCAGGTTCCAATAACAAATCAATTAAGTAGGTTCACTAACTGAAAGTTTATTTTATTAAACGATATCACTATACAAAGTGTCTCTGATATCTCTGACAAGCTATCAAATGAAAATTAATAATTAGCTCCTACTTCTTACAATCAGTTAATATTAGATATTGTTCAAAATAACCGAATTAACTGGAAGATTCTCAAATTGAAAACTTTGTTAATTTTCTTTTCAGGTATATTTTGCAATTATTCCTTCAAATTAATACAAACTTCAAAGTACTTTCCACAAATGTTCATAAAATAAACAAAAATTGTAGATGAAGGGAGAAAAACGACTATCCTGGCTATTGGCTGATGCAACGCAGAACATTGAATTACATCCTCCCAAAATCGATGCATCTATTCGTCTCTAAACGAATACTATTGCAAATGTTTCTTTCCTTCATGCCGATTGATTTCGATTTAGCCAGGTTAACGCTCGATACCTACAGACCGGTTTGAGATTTTGGCCCTCATCAGTGTAGGGTAGTCTCCAGGTAACAGTCCGCCAGCTAAGCGTTACCTGTCCTAACAAGAATCTGATCAGCAGTTTATTCCCTCAGAGGCGTTTCCCATAGGCAACATGGGTGTAACGCCATCTAGAGTAGAAGGAAGAAAACACTCAAAAACTGAACTTCCCATCTCGGTGAAAAATGGGATTGGCTCTGACTGCCCTACTAGCGTAATTTCAACTATGAAATGGCCAAAATGCTCAAAGTGGAATGAAATGTCAAATAAATAAAAAACTCAAAGTAATTTCCACAAATGTTTATAAAAATGGAAGATGACGGGCGTTATACCCATTTGGCCTATGGGAGACGCCTCTGAGGGCATAAAATGCCGATCACTCGATCAGATTTTTGTTGAGCCACCCTACACTGATGAGGGCCAAGAGCCCGAAGCTGGACTGTAGGTGTCGAGCGATAACCTGGGTTAATCGAAATTAATCGGCATTAGGAAAAGAAACTCGTTTATACGAATCGATGCGGGAGATTTCGGGAGGATGTTCTGCGTGGCATTAGCCAGGAAAGTGGTTGTTTTTCTCCCGTCATTTAAGATTTGAATTGACTCGGTCGTTACTTGATGGAAATCCATGGCAAATGTAAAACCTTCATAAACGATAAGATTTCCACAAAATTCTGAAACACACGACATGTTTTGCTAACACAGTAGCTTCGTCAGGTGATATACTGGTAGGTACAATGAACTAAACCAAACTTGGCTTGCTTAACTTTTATATATCCTACTTTCCCAACTTGAAGGGTTAGTTAACCTGTGGACAGGTTCGATAAACCTTCCTTTTCGGAAATTAGGCACAATATCTACATTTAAATAAGGTGTACAGGATTAACTTGAAAGGGCTGATAGCAAATACATATAATTACCTACTAAGAAAACAAATTCAACAGTGGTGAACTATTGAGGTCTAATTGATCGTTTAGTAAAATGTCAAAATTTTTGAGTTTGTTGATTTTTAATGATCCAGAATAAGTAGTTGTTTTCTGTTGAATATACCGAGAAAGAATTAATAATTTCATCACATAGAGAATGCGAATTCTCAATGTATTTATTCAAATGAATCAATTTTTTCATGTTTATAATATATCTGAGAATATTCCTTTTCAATACAGAATAAGTGAGTTTCATTCCTTTATTTTCTACGTGTAGAATTTCGAAATTATCATCAAAACTATGGTTTTCTTCTAATATATGGTTGGCGTATGTTGATATATGGTTGGCGTATGTTGAATTTGTTTTCTTTTTCAAAAAATGCATCTTGTGTTCATGAATGCGCTGATTAAACGAACCACCTGTCTGCCCGACATACACCTTATTGGGACAAGATCCACAGTTGAGTTTGTATACCCCTGATTTTTCGACTTTCGAAGTTTTGTCTTTATTATTCTTGATAAGCCTTCCCAACGTGTTATTTGTTCTATATGCTACTTTTAAGTCCTGTTTATGTAAAAATGGAGCTAATTTTTCAGTTGATGATCCGAAATAGGTTAAAGTTCTATAATTTTGATCATTATTCTTGATGGTATGATAAACTTCTTGAATGGCTTCATTATGAAGTTTTTTAGAAAGAAGAGTATAGGTTATTTCGTAGTTGAAATTAAAAAAATATCCCTTTTTCTGCAACCGACACAAAAGTCGTCCATTTTGATACCAAAATTAGCTCTTAAATTGACGTTTCTATTACTGACACAAAAATAGGTATGTTGCTAGGCAACATATTTAGTTCCAAGGAGCTAAAGTTGAATTTTAGTTCCTAGGAGCTAAAGTTGAACTTTAGCTCCTAGGAACTAAAAAGGATGTACTGGACGTCATCAAGAATAAACAACATTATGACGGTTGGTTATTTGGGTTGAGACGCATACCTGATTTGTTTCCGATTTCAGCAGATTTAGCATTTCATACCCATGCTGGAGATATAAATACACCTTATTATAGTTTAGTATTGGAATCATTAACATCTCAGTTGAGTATTTTTGTTTTGATCAGGGAAGCCTTCAAGATTCAAATACTTGCTTGATATGTATTTCATTCGTTATTCTCGGGATGGATAACTTGTTTTTGAATAATCACGGCAAGCAATAGTTTTTTTGTTTCGAACAACGATATTGTTTAGCTTCATTTGATTACCAAGTCAAACACAGTGTAGTATGGAGAGGAATAAATAATCACTACTATCATTGTTGATATGCTCACTAACCTAACATTTTCTTCGTCTTGTTCCTATAGCTGGCACTGGCGCGGCTTCGCTAAACGCTCCGCCTCGCAAATGCAAAATTCGCTTGTCAAACAAAGTGTCACTTTTGATCCTAATAAAACAATCTACTATTTTCTTTGTTTCATCAATTTTGTGTTTATATTGAATATTATTCAATATCTTGTTTTTTTAGATTACAGGATGTGGACTACTGGGCGTTGGCATTTGGCTGAGGGTAGCTTACGAAGGCTATGCCTCTTTGCTTCCACAATACGCCCTTCTCAGTGCTGATTCCCTGGCCATAGCCTTGGGGACTATCACCTTCGTGTTCTCATTTTTCGCCTGCTGCGGGTCATGGTTTCAAAATAGATGCATGCTCATCACGGTAAGAAAAATACCGGGATATTCGAGCGTACATGTTCGCGCCCATTAAGAGGAGAATTTCAACCAAATCGTCATGCAGGCCTGTACTATTTTCTGCTTTTTGGGCTTATGAATGATTCAATTGAAAAACTAATTAAATCATCGTGAAGAAGAAGGTTGGGACTAGGGTCCGGTTATCATACGGAGTCGAAACTCATTCATTTATTGAAGATACAGATTTTTGAAAAACGTAGACATTGAAAATTTTTTGTCTCAAATTGAAATATTTTTGATCTCAGTACAATTGTTGGAAATTCGGCGAGATGTCACAGAAATTTAAGCTCCTGAAATGTTTCCATTTGGACAAAAAGCAACAAAAACGAATATTCTGTCAACAAAATATTTCTTGAAAGAATATAATGCAGGAAACTAGGATGTGGTAGTTCAGGCACTACCTGATAGATGGCAGTGTTCGAAATGACAGACAGCCGCAGAGAGGAATGGTGCATTGTATTGCGAGCAGATGATGAATTCATACCCGTTTACACCGTTGCCAATGTTACACATATTACTCGGACATATTATGAAATCTAGGAGACGTGATATAATACAGAGGGTATTATTCAATTATCTGGGCATATTTCAAGGGGTGGTTCTCCGAGTGGTTGTAAGACGAACAAATCTAATATTTAAAATTCTCCTGTCACGGTCACGGTGTTAGAGGTCGAACTCCTCCGAAACGGCTCGACCGATTCGTATGAAATTTTTGGTGCGTATTCGGTAGGTATGAGAATCGGTCGTAATCTATTTTTTAAATCGAAAATTCTACAAAATTGGTACTTGGGGGTTTTCGGGGTCGGAGATTATGAATATTTCGTCAAATTTTGGGAATTCAAGATGGCGGATCCAATATGGCGGACGAGCTTTGTAATTATGGTCAGATTCCATTCGAAATTGGTATCTGGGGGTTTTCGAGGTCGGAGATTATGATTTCTTCATCAAAATTAGGAAATTCATAATGATTCGATTTCTCTATTTCCTACCCTATTCGAGATTTCAATGCATAACATTGGTTATATCTAAGGTATTTCCATGAAAATATAAATATTCTACACATATTTTTTGTCGAAAAATGCTTCCTTATGGAGTGACGCCCCTTCAGCAGTACACTCTGGAGACAGTTTCACCTCAATATTTCTGAAACCGTTCATCCAAAAATCATGAAATATATGTATAATATATAATATACAGGCTGATTCACGGTGGATGGCACATCAAACGAAAATTGGTATTGCCAGGTTTTTGGAGGTGTCGAATCGTTACCATCGAGACAATATTCGAATCTGATGTTATTATTGCTCCCACTCGTAGGGGGCGCCACCTACACGTCTTCTTCCTTGTTGAAGCTTCATAACTTTTTCGACCGTGTCTAGCACATTTTTCAGTAGAAAAATTGATTGCTCTATCATATCTACGTAAAAAAGCTACACTTGTTTAAAATCTCTAAAAGCAACCATTTTCTAGGTATTTGGAGTTCTCATATCAATGTAGTCAATATCAAGTTAATTATTTGATAATCGCTGCATGTTGAAGTTGTTATTAAATTTTTTTGAATTTCTCACAAAAATGCTCAAGAAATGCAAAGTAATTTTGGTAATTAGATAGTTGAAAGTTTTGTTGAAGTTTCTGTGAAACGAAAATAAAAATAAAACTTACACACCCTGTATCTTGGAAATGAAGCGTACATATACTTATTTCGACAATTCATATGAGAATATTGTGAGGGAGAATATTGGAATTTTGTGAAATTTGTCAAAATACTTTTGAATCACCCTGTATACCTATTTTAGATACTTATTATTTTTTACGTAAAAAACCTCAAGGTCCCAGTCTAAAATCATAATGTGTAGAAAAGATACCATGAAAAAGAGCTCAAATCCTGATTCAGCATGGAAAGTTTTTGCGTATATCGAATTTCGTGATTTTATATTTATAGCACTCACCTCGCAACCACGAAGTTTTTACCAATGTTTAGGAAACACCCTATAGAATCTAATTCGAATAACTCCGTATTTGAAAAGTTGCAATTCGCGAGATTCACGAAGTGGGCGACATCTAGGTTACTTAATACGAACTTCAAACTGGGGGAAAACAAACTGTTGTCTATGGATAAAGTGCATAGACTACATTGCATTCAGCTTGCTGTAGCTGTAGTCAAACTTGTCAATAACATAAAGTGTTGGCACTGTTGGTAGTGATGATGGTTGAGTTACTTAATTTTTTTACATTATTACATTTTTATCGGTTTAGTGAACAGTGAACGGGTGAAGAATTGGAGGTAGTTCAAACAATTCAAATTAATTATGACGAGCAAATCAATTGACATATAAAAGAACAGCTACAACATGTTCACAATACCCAGATTGTCCTGCTTTGCATGAACAAATACAAATCCATTGTTCTACATGAGTTCCTCTGGACCCCAACTTCAATTTTACTTCATGTGGGGAAGATTTCATCGCCGAAGTTTGTAGACAAAGTGCAAAAATGTGCCTTTTGTTGAAGTCTTCTGCCTCACACTAAATCACATGATTAGCACGGAGAACTGCTTCTCCTTCCACTATACTGGCCGGCTTTTTCCATCTAAATTTTCTAAATAGAGCAGAATATCTGCCAAAACAACATCTACAACAGGCATTATTAGCGTTTTTGATCGAATATTGACAATTAATGTCAAGTTATTCGAAAACTCATTATTATTGTATTGAGTTAGTTTTCCAGTTTTGACGTGGCTTTGACATGGAACGGTGCGTTTTGTTGACGCTAACCTAGTTCTGTAACAGCTATTCCATGCGTTTCCTTGACATATTCTATGAATTCGCGCCAACAATTTCAAAAGTTATTCGCTCTGGGATGCTCGATATATATATTTCGATCGAATAGGACGATGGAATATAATTTCAAGAAGAGAAACCTAACAAAATGGCGGTACTGAATGTTCATTTTTGAGGTTTCGGATTTTCTGATGATCTCACCCAAAGCTAGTGAGTGGAAATAGTGAAAGTTTATATTACGAAGGAATATATTTGTTTGTTCTAAAATTTGTTCTATCCGTCATTCGGTTGCCCCCTTACGAGCAACCCTCAAAAGTCTTCGAAAGTCTTGTGCGAGCAAGGAATGACGGGGGCCTTACCTTTTAACGTGTGATCCTAAACACTTTCTTGGGCCATCAGAAAAATTTCTGCAGTCGACGGGGATCGAACCCACGACCGGCATGGTACGGTATGGTACTTGTTATTGAATTGGCCAGGAATTATGTCGCTGCCAGAAGGATTTTTCCATTGAGGATTCGCAGTTTCAATGAAGTATCATTTTCAAAAAACTTCAGTATTTTTCCTCGACGTTGAATCTATGCAAAGAATGCTATTACATGAGGAAAATGTCAGGTTACCAACATGAAATTTCCGTTTTCTTGATCAATCATTGAATTCTTGTATTTGGGTTAATTCCGTTTTCTTGCACAACCATTCTATTCTATTCCACAGGTTATCAACAAAACGCACCTCTTGATTCCCGCGAATATGCAATAAATGACATTTTTTTGTTTCAGTATTTCTGCTTGGTAGTGTTCATTTTCGTAGCGGAATTTCTACTGGGATCGCTAGCGTTCGCATTCAAAGACAACCTGAAGCATACTTTGAACGAAGAGCTTCGAAATGGTCTCACGCACCATTACAATGTGACCACGCACGGTCCCAAGAGTTTAGTCCAAATTTGGGATAACATTCAATCACAGGTGGGTATTTGGATCTTGATAATCAATTGAGCAGAGACAGAGATAGAATAGTTCTCTATAGTGAGTAGACTAAATAGAGTGGCGACAATAGACCTCAAATTTTCTGCCGTTTCCGGGATTTCATTCGTCACTGGATAGCTAAAAATCTGAAGGGTATCTCACCTGCATTAATGAATTTGCGCCTTCGAAGTGCCCACCTGTTTTTTTTTTATTTATTTATTTATTGAAAATGTTACTAATAAATAATATAATATTTGAAAACATTAAGTATTGAGTTTTGACAAATCATTTCATATTGGTGAGCAAAAATCAATTTGAATATGAATCAAAAGTTGAAAAAAAAAATCATCTATTTCGTTCAGAAATGATAAATTTTTTGAGTTGGTATTTGAATTTTATTGTATTTCTGCAATTTTTTATATTATCTGGTAATTTGTTATATTCCAAGAGAGCAGCGTGGGTGAATCTTTTTTGGCCTATAGAAGAATTAGCGATATCAAGATGAAATAAACTATGTTGTCTAGTTTGGTAATTATGAATTTCATTGTTTCGTGTTAAATAAAATTAGATTTCAATCTTTTATTTATGATATTTTATGTAATTTTCAGTCTTTCAATTTTGAACATTTCTTCTGATGAGAATGATTCAGTTATTTTATATGATTGATTTGTTGGTGTATCATATGGTAGACGATACAGTACTTTCAATGTATTTTTATATAATGCAGATATTTTATTAAAATTGTTTTTTGAACAGTATCCCCAAACATTTATTCAGCTTGGGACATCTTCTCGTCAAAACATTTATATGTTTGTCCCACTTTAATTCATCATCCAACCAAATCCCAAGATACTTTTTCTCATTAGTTTGTTTCAAAGGTTTAGATATTTGATATCCTCATTTCATCATACAAATAATTTGAGACTTCCAAATTGTATGTTTTTTATTCGTATTGAATTTCTCTACCATGTTTCACACGGTGGCATTTGTTTTTCTAATACCTCTAACCAGAATATGACAATAATGAATATGAAAATTTGGAAGCATCTTCTGTAATTCTACGACTCCTCAAGAGGAATTTTTATTTCGTTTTTCTACAAGTTAACCCAAAAATGTTTTCAGAAATTTAGGCTTTGGAAGCGTATTTATCAGTAACGATCTCATATAGGGTGTTCATTAGACATCTCAATCGATAAAGTATATAAACTTGAAAGGTAAGGAATTCACGAAATTAGTCAAACTAGAAGATCCAGCCGAACTAGGTTAAAAGAACATCTAGCACATTTAGCGTATGGTCGAAAATAAAAGATCGAGTGAAGATGAACATTATCTGCAACGTCAATCATAACACAGACAATAATAAGTTGACATTGATCAAACAAATTGATAAAATCATAAAATCAAATGCATATAAAAACCTTAGAAAAATTAAAACATAGAGATAGTATGTTCATGGAGAGCATATGTTCATTTATAATTTTTGTGAAGGTACTACCTAATTCCTCTAATAAGTTTATGAGAAATCATATACCATGGGTATCTTTTTAACGGTGAGAGATACGAGGTCGGTTAAATGACACCAAATGTGGAGTTTGTCAAGGCCAACTATAATGTGAAGAAAAATTTTGATGAAATCTATTCGTTTTTGTTTTATACGCAAAAAACAGATTTTGATCATTTTCATGTCTCCTCCGTAACTTCTTTATTTATGAAAATATTCAAATAGGAATTTCACATTCTCATGGCAGTTTTTCAAAGTGATTTCGGAAAAAATGTGAAATTTATACCAACTCTTCTAGAATTTGAGATATCAGCACCAACTTTAGTTTTTCAAATGTAGGTCATAGCTCACTATTACTTGGTTACAAATAACTTTTTTTTCTCTTCCAGATGATATGTCGCAGTAATAGTTTTGTGTTGATAACAACGGAGTTATCGTCATTTATACAAGAACAAAAAATTATTTGGAAGCCGCCATCTTGAATTTATAAATTTTAACAAAAAAATCATGATCTCCGACCTCAGAAACCCCCACTTACCAATTTTGAATGGAATCGGACCAAATCTTGTCCGCCATCTTAGAGCAGCCATTTTTTTCAATTTCAACAAAAATTCCATAACTCCGATCAACTTGAAATTTGACAGGTGTTCATAATTTCGGTGTCAATACATTATGGAATTTTTGTTGAAATTAAAAAAAATGGCTGCTGATTTGGTCCGATTCTATTCAAAATTGGTAAGTGGGGGTTTTTGAGGTCGGAGATCACGATTCTTTTGTTAAAATTCATAAATTCAAGATGGCGGCTTCCAAATAATTTTTTGTTTTTGTATAAATGACGATAACGCCGTTGTTATCAACACAAAACTTTAACTTTAAAGTTATTTGTAACTAAGTCATAGTGAGCTATGACCTACATTTGAAAAACTAAAGTTGGTGCTGATATCTCAAATTCTAGAAGAGTTGATATAAATTTCATATTTTTTTCGAAATCATATTGAAAAACTGCCATGAGAATGTGAAATTCCTATTTGAATATTTTCATAAATAAAGAAGTTACGGAGGAGACATGAAAATGATCAAAATCTGTTTTTTGCGTATAAAACAAAAACGAATAGATTTCATCAAAATTTTTTTTCACATTATAGTTGACCTTGACAAACTCCACATTTGGTGTCATTTAACCGACCTCGTATCTCTCACCGTTTAAAAGATACCCATGGTGAGCATGGTAAGTGGGACACATTGTATATTTTTCTGTTTTTTCAAGTTTGGTTGTTGTGGCGTTCAAGATTACCAAGACTGGTACATGATAGACGCATGGCCAGAAGAAAAATGGGTGCCAGATTCCTGTTGCCTTCCAGCCAGTTACGACTACAACTGTGGCAAAATAAAGGATGTTAGCATATACACCCAAGGGTGTTATGACCAGATCCACAACTTCTTCATCAAGAGGCTGGATATAATCGGATTCGTTGGCATTCTGATTGCCTTCTTCCAATTATACGGATTGATATCATCCATGCTGCTGTTTTGTACAGTGAAACATAAAAGATTGTCCAGGACTTACAAATCATATTCATAGCATTAGTTGATATCAGAACTGTTAGGGTATTTCTAATTGATGAGGCAATATTGGAACTTCGCTGTACGTAGATACATCTGTATGGGTCATTCCAATTCTGGAATATCGAAAAAAAAAAGCCCTACACCCCAGAATCTCGCTAGTTCTACAGACTTCTTTTTTCTCCTGGACGACGCATTTTCTGCCTCTAAAAAATGTATATCATTTTCAAAAGTTGGGGGTAATAAATTATTTTCGAAAGATATTATGAATTATATTATTTATTTGGATTTTAATTGGATTTTATTTAGAATTAATAATATTATGTTGTTATTTGATATTGCAATTTGGCCATACTGAGCCCTGTGAAAACTTGATTATAACCGAGATACTTTAAAACTTACACAATGTTGACAAAAGGAAAGTTCGAGTGTCAATCGTGAGATATCATGTGCTTTCATTGAATTTTTTTTTTATTAAAGCCTAATGCACATTTCCGAATTAGAATTTGAACGGATGCATTTAAAATTATGGATGCAACTAGAAACTAAAAGTGACAATAAAAACATGAATACCCAAAGTACAATCCACTTCAAATTCATCAATACATTCTAATTTCTCGCCCCAAAACACCATATTCGAAAATATAGAATTCTCAACTAAGCCAAGTTGTGACCAAATTGTAATATTTTCTTTTCAAGGAATTTTATTGTATAGATTATGAAAAACCCTGTAACACATATTTTGAAAAAAAAAATCAATTAATTTAGACTGATCAACAAATTTTCTGGAGTCTGTATCTACTTATTTTCATAACCACTGTCATTTATAATGAATTAAATGCAAGCTACAAATCTTTTGATAAAAAGATATTGATAAAATGTAGAATATTTCATACAGGGTTATTTACAATGCAATGTAGATATTTCGCAAATTGAATGTTATAACAGTTTTATATTGTAAGTCAGTATTTTCCTGATAAATTTAAATATTTGAAGCAGTTTGGAGTAACCAACTGATTGGAACTGTACATATTAACTATAAGTTGTAACTGATTGACTCTCGAATAGTTTTATTTATCTCAGTTTTTTCGTTGGAATCTGAAAACTCAACTGATTGATGATTTTCACAAAAACATTATGAACATTAATTGATCTAATGATGTTTCATGCCGTCTTGAGAAGCTAATCAATAACTATGGTGTGTTATATTTTTAATAAGATGTGATTTTTCTCAATGTATAGAATTATAAAACATTATTAATAAGAAAGTAAGAGGCCCAGTAGATTTTATAGTTGTTTTTGTTTTTATTTATAAAACAGTAATTCAAAGAAATTTATAGTTGTTCTCAATAAATTATTTGTTGGCAATGTTTCACTGATTTTCATTTCCAAAATGAAAGGATCATCATAATAAGTGAATATTATAGGGATATAAGCGACGAAGATATATTTAAAATCACAATAATTGCAGAAATTGCAAAAATGCCTAAAAATTGCAGAAATAGCAAAAATTGCAAAAATCGCAAAAATTCCTGAAAATTGCAAAATTTGCAAAAATTCCTGAAAATTGCAAAAATCGCAAAAATTCCTGAAGATTGTAAAAATTGCAAAAGTCGCAAAAATTCCTGAAAATTGAAAAATCTGCAAAAATTCCTGAAAATTGCAAAAATCGCAAAAATTCCTGAAGATTGTAAAAATTACAAAAATCGCAAAAATTCCTGAAAATTGCAAAAATTCCTGAAAATTGCAAAAATCGCAAAAATTCCTGAAAATTGCGAAAATTGCAAAAATTCCTGAGAATTGCAAAAATCGCAAAAATTCCTGAAAATTGCAGATAGCAAAAATTGCTAAAATTCCTGAAAATTGCAAAAATCGCTAAAATTCAGGAAAATCGCAAAAATCGCAAAAATTCCTGAAAATTACAAAAATCGCAAAAATTCCTGAAAATTGCAGAAATAGCAAAAATTGCAAAAATTCCTGAAAATTAAAAAAATTCCTGAAAATTGAAAAAATTCCTGAAAATTGCAAAAATCGCAAAAATTCCTGAAAATTGCAAAAATCGCAAATATTCCTGAGAATTGCAAAATTTGCAAAAATTCCTGAAAATTGCAAAAATCGCAAAAATTCCTGAAAATTGCAGAAATAGCAAAATTCCTCAAAATTGCAAAAAATCGCAAAAATTCCTGAAAATTGCAAAAATTTGCAAAAATTTCTGAAAATTGCAAAAATCGCGAAAATTCCTGAAGATTGTAAAAATTGCAAAAATCGCAAAAATTCCTGAAAATTGCAAAATTTGCAAAAATTCCTGAAAATTGCAAAAATCGCAAAAATTCCTGAAAATTGCAAAAATCGCAAAAATCCTGAAAATTGCAGAAATCGCGAAAATTCCTGAAAATCGCAAAAATTCCTGAAAATTGCAAAAATCTCAAAAATTCCTGAAAATTGCAAAAATTCCTGAAAATTGCAAAAATCGCAAAAATTCCTGAAAATTGCAAAAATCGCAAAATTCCTGAAAATTGCAAAAATCGCAAATATTCCTGAGAATTGCAAAATTTGCAAAAATTCCTGAAAATTGCAAAAATCGCAAAAATTCCTGGAAAATTGCAGAAATAAGCAAAAATTCCTCAAAATTGCAAAAAATCGCAAAAATTCCTGAAAATTGCAAAATTTGCAAAAATTTCTGAAAATTGCAAAAATCGCGAAAATTCCTGAAGATTGTAAAAATTGCAAAAATCGCAAAAATTCCTGAAAATTGCAAAAATTCCTGAAAATTGCAAAAATCGCAAAAATTCCTGAAAATTGCAAAATTTGCAAAAATTCCTGAAAATTGCAAAATATCGCAAAAATTCCTGAAAATTGCAAAAATCGCAAAAATTCCTGAAAATTGCAGAAATCGCGAAAATTCCTGAAAATCGCAAAAATTCCTGAAAATTGCAAAAATCGCAAAAATTCCTGAAAATTGCAAAAATCGCAAAAATTCCTGAAAATTGCAAAATTTGCAAAAATTCCTGAAAATTGCAAAATCTCAAAAATTCCTGAAAATTGCAAAAATTCCTGAAAATTGCAAGAATCGCAAAATTCCTGAAAATTGCAAAAATCGCAAAAATTCCTGAAAATTGCAAAATTTGCAAAAATTCCTGAAAATTGCAAAAATCGCAAAAATTCCTGAAAAATGCAAAATTTGCAAAAATTCCTGAAAATTGCAAAAAATTGCAAAAATTCCTGAAAATCGCAAAAATCGCAAAAATTCCTGAAATTTGCAAAAATCGCAAAATGCCTGAAAATTGCAAAAATCGTAAAAATTACTGAAAATTGCAAAAATCGCCAAAATTCCTGAAAACTGCAAAAATCGCAAAAATTCCTGAAAATTGCAAAAATTTGCAAAAATTTCCGAAAATAGCAAAAATCGCGAAAATTCCTGAAGATTGCAAAAATCGCAAAAATTCCTGAAAATTGCGAAATTTGCAAAAAATTGCTGAAAGTTGCAAAATTTGCAAAAATTCCTGAAAATTGCAGAAATAGCAAAAATTCCTGAAAATTGCAGAAATTCCTGAAAATTGCAAAAATCGCAAAGATTCCTGGAAATTGCAAAATTTGCATAAATGCCTGAAAATTGCAAAAATCGCAAAAATGCCTGAAAATTGCAAAAATCGTAAAAATTCTGAAAACTACAAAAATTCCTGAAAATTGCGAAAAATCGCAAGAATTCCTGAAAATTGCAAGAATCGCAAAAATGCCTGAAAATTGCAAAAATTGCAAAAATGCCTGAAAATTGCAATAAATCCTGAAAATTGCAGAAATCGCAAAAATTCCTGAAAATTGCAAAATTTGCAGAAATTCCTGAAAATTGCAAAAATCGCAAACATGCCTGAAAATTGCATAGTTTGCAAAAATTCCTGAAAATTGCGAAAATCGCAAAAATTCTTGAAAATTGCAAAATTTGCAATTTTCAGGCATTTTTGCGATTCTTGCAATTTTCAGGCATTTTTGCGATTCTTGCAATTTTCAGGAATTCTTGCGATTTTCGCAATTTTCAGGCATTTTTGAAATTTACAGGAATTTTTACGATTTTTGCAATTTTCAGGCATTTTTGCGATTTTTGCAATTTTCAGGCATTTATGCAAATTTTGCAATTTCCAGGAATCTGCGATTTTTGCAATTTTCAGGAATTTTTTGCAATTTTCAGGAATTTTTGCTATTTCTGCAATTTTCAAGAATTTTTGCAAATTTTGCAACTTTCAGCAATTTTTGCAAATTTTGCAATTTTCAGGAATTTTTGCGATTTTTGCAATTTTCAGGAATTTTTTGCGATTTTTGCAATTTTCAGGAATTTTTACGATTTTTGCAATTTTCAGGCATTTTTGCGATTTTTGCAAATTTCAGGCATTTTTGCGATTTTTGCGATTTTCAGGAATTTTTGCAATTTTCAGGAATTTTTGCAAATTTTGCAATTTTCAGGAATTTTTGAGATTTTTGCAATTTTCAGGAATTTTTGCAAATTTTGCAATTTTCAGGAATTTTTGCGATTTTTGCAATTTTCAGGAATTTTTGCGATTCTTGCAATTTTCAGGAATTTCTGCAACTTTCAGGAATTTTTGCTATTTCTGCAATTTTAAGGAATTTTTGAGATTTTTGCAATATTCAGGAATTTTTGCAAATTTTGCAATTTTCAGGAAATTTTGCGATTTTTGCAATTTTCAGGAATTTTTGCGATTTTCAGGAATTTTCGCGATTTTTGCAATTTTCAGGAATTTTTGCAATTTTTGCAATTTTCAGGAATTTTTGCGATTTTTGCAATTTTCAGGAATTTTTGCGATTTTTGCGATTTTCAGGAATTTTTGCGATTTTTGCAATTTTCAGGAATTTTTGCAAATTTTGCATTTTTCAGGAATTTTTGCGATTTTTGCAATTTTCAGGAATTTTTGCAAATTTTGCAATTTTCAGGAATTTTTGCGATTTTTGCAATTTTCAGGAATTTTTGCGATTTTTGCAATTTTCAGGAATTTTTGCAATTTTCAGGAATTTTTGAGATTTTTGCAATTTTCAGGAATTTTTGCGATTTTTGCAATTTTCAGGAATTTTTACGATTTTTGCAATTTTCAGGCATTTTTGCGATTTTTGCAAATTTCAGGCATTTTTGCGATTTTTGCGATTTTCAGGAATTTTTGCAATTTTTGCAATTTTCAGGAATTTTTGCAAATTTTGCATTTTTCAGGAATTTTTCAGATTTTTGCAATTTTCAGGAATTTTTGCAAATTTTGCAATTTTCAGGAATTTTTGCGATTTTTGAATTTTCAGGAATTTTTGCGATTCTTGCAATTTTCAGGAATTTTTGCAATTTTCAGGAATTTTTGAGATTTTTGCAATTTTCAGGAATTTTTGCAAATTTTGCAATTTTCAGGAATTTTTGCGATTTTTGCAATTTTCAGGAATTTTTGCAAATTTTGCAGAAATTCCTGAAAATTGCAAAAATAGCAAAAGTCCTGAAAATTGCAAAAATTCCTGAAAATTGCAAAATTTGCAGAAATTCCTGAAAATTGCA